ACTGGCTCTCCACTTTTTAGCTGTGAGATCCTGGTCGGTCCCTTAAGCAAAGTCGCAGTTTCCTCACCTATAAATAGACAGTGACAGCGACACTTCTTACCTCACAGCATTGTCATGAGGGATGGACGAGGCACTCTATGTATCACATGGGCACACAGAACGTGCCTGATAGGAATTAGCGTTTTTCGTTCTATCACCTTCCTGGCCCTCCGATACATTGAAAGTGTGTCAGTAAAAGATAGGAATCTCTGTCTAGTTTACTTCTAGGAATTCAGCAGCGCAGTCTGTCTGCGGCCGTATGCGCTCCTACAGCACCGATTAGCGCACACATGGCTGGGAAAAAGGGGAATACTGACAGTTCTACCGCGGAAGCCGTGTTCATTCATTCACACACACTTTCCCAGGACGAGGGGAGCTGAGGCAGCGGAGGAGAGCGGCAGCTTCAGTGGGAAGGGTTCGCTGTGGCTTTCAGTCCTTTTTTTCTTTAAATTTTAAGTGGACACCTGCGTTTGGAGAGCTCTCTGAAGAGCAGCACACCCCGGCCTTGCACATCCCAGGCTGTGCTGCCTTCTGCACCCCCCTTCCCGGCAGCCTCACCAGCACCCTACCGATGCAGTTGCTGTTCCATCATTTCTGCACATTTGCAATATCCCACAAAGCAGCTTCTGGCCCTTCTGAGCTGCCTGCTTCGGCCATCCAATTATCTCCCGAGGTGCCAAATATTGTTTCTGTTAGAGACTTGTGACACAGTGGTCTGTCCTTAACCTTCCTTTTCCTCACAAGCCCTGTTACCTGACATTTTTCAGGAGCACAACATATCATCTCTTAACAGAAATGCCTAACTTCTGTCCAGTGCTGCAGAAGGCAGCCACAGCAAAAGCACAGACAGATAAGGAAGAAAGCAAGGCCACATGTGGGTGGTTTGGGTGGGTGTGGCTGAGGCCCAGGCTGTGGGCTGGCCCCTCCCTGGATGGCTTTGAGTTCTCTGGCTCCAGAACTCAAAGCAGAAAGCAGCTTTCCCCAGTCCAGAGCACTAACGTGTGATGCTTAGTCCCGGCCCTGTCCAGTGTAGCAGAAATAGCCACTTTTCTCTGTTTCAGCTCTGGAGAGAGGGTGTGTAGCACCATGACTTAACTAAATATATTCCCAAATAAAGCCTCTCTCTTTACTTTCTTTGAAACATGTTCATGGAAATGCACTTTGAGTCTCCTTAATTCTCTCAGATTTAAATTCTTGCTACCAACCTAGAATTCCTGTGAGAATTTGCTCCTCTCCTTACTGAAGCGCCGACCACATTCCGTCTTGTGTTGTTAGAATAGCATGTGTGTGCATGTGCGTGCATGTCTTCATGTGCTTTCTGTGCATATATGTGTGTGTGTGACTTCAATTACACTGTCATCCTTGAGGGCAGGTATTTCTTCTCTGTATTTCCTCCATTTTGCCCAGCCCAGTGTCTTCCTCATAGTAAGTACTTAATAAACATTTGCTAACTGAACAAATCCCCCAGAAGCACTGGCTTGCATCCAGGCCCTTCTGCAAGGAGTAACAACTGTGCTCTGTGAATTCCAATGCAGTGGTTACAAGACATAGTTTTACATTAAAATGTTGCTGTACCATAGTTATTGGAAATTATGCTGGAGAAGTAAAAACCAAAAAGCAACGTAAGAACATCTTATATGGAATATCTTATTCATCTTTGTAAATAATTAATACGCAGCAGACAGGAGTTATTTAATTTGGCTGCTCTTGAAGTTCCTGCTTCACCATCCAAGGCTCTGGAAGTTGAGCTGTTTTCTGAGGGAACACCAGTTCAGAACAAGCCTCAAGGTGACTCCTGCTTAGAGAGGGACCTGGCCTGTGAAGAGGGAGCATGTGGGCCAGGAGGTGAGGGAGACGGGCTCGCTGCTCTGACTGAAACACCCACTGTCCATGGTCCAGGTCCTATAGGTGAGCGTATGGGCATCTGTTCGCAGACTTTGCTGTCCAGCTCCTGACTCAGAGGGGTAGGGGCAGCGTATCTGTGCTGGGGTGGGATCTATGATGCTTCAATGTGGCTGGAGTGCAGGGTCCCAGGGGAAGTGTGGGAGACACGAGGCTGGAGACAGGACAAGAGCCCCTTTGAAAGGCCCTGTGCCCTATATCGCAGAGTAGATTCCTATCATGAGGACAACAGAAAGGCACTGGAAGTTTTGGGACTATTATGAGGATGGCTACAATCAGCTTTGTAACCATTCGTGCCAATAGCTCAGTAGCCACAGCAACACACATCAGTACCACCAAGGAAACATACACTCTAAGTTAGAAGCATGTGCTTGTTATATAAGCACAGCAGAAAAACAAGAGTGAGAGTAGCTAATAATCATTGAAGCTTCCTACATGTCACACACTATTCTCAGTGATTTTTGAAAATGTGTTAACTCGTTCTTCATGAGATGGGAAGTTGAGGTCACACAGTTAGTAAGCGCTGGTGCTGGCACTTGCACCTCTGCAGGCTGGGTCCCGAAAGCATGCTTGCGATCACAGCATTGCGCTGCCTTGGTGATCCCCTCATTCCCACTTTCAACCACGTCCTCCCCCCTAAGCCACTGTTTTGTAGAAACTCTGAAACCACCACTGATTCTGGCAGTGTGAACAGCAGCGGGTTGGTGGTCCAGACTGGAAGCAAGGGGACTGAGAGGAGAGTGTTGTAATAATGCTGGTGAGCGGGAGCAGTGGAAGGATATGAGAGAAGAGGGTAACGGGACTTGATAGTTCCAGCAGATGTGCAAATGCACATGGAACACTTAGCACCAAGGCTGGTACTTGCTATTCTAATGTATCAAAACACTGTGATATTTTTATTACCGGTCGGATTATCCTCCAGGTTTAAGTCATTAGCTTTTACTAATAAATGTTATAGCACATAGATGCAACTAAGATTTTTAATAGTAAAAAGCAATATACAAATAGCCCTTTATGGATTATGCAATATTATTGTGAAATAATTCAATTGATTTTAAAATGGCCCTTGTGTATCAGATTTCCTGGGGCTGCTGTAACAAAGCGGCACAGCCTGGGGGGCTGGAACCACAGAATTCTGGAGACGAGCAGCCCTGGGGTCAGCAGGCCTGGCTTGGTCTCAGGGCCGTGAGGGAGAACCTGTCCCACGCCTGTCCCCTGGCTGCTGGGGGCTTGCCGGCAATCTTTGGCAGCAAACCTAAAGTCACTTTTTGAGGTACTGGGGGTTAGGACATTAAAATATAAATTTTGAGGGGACACACTTCAATCCTTTATAGCAGGTAAGGTAGGAATTATTCTCACTCCCATCTTAAAGATAAAGACACTGAGTCTCAGAGTTGAAGCGATCCCCCCACAGGTGAGTGAGTCCCTGGGTCACAAAGGCAAACCTGCCGTCTGACCCAGTGCTCTGAGAGAGCCGGAGAGTGCCTCGTGCTAGGAGTCTGTCTAGCTGTTCCCACACGCTCAGACCAGTAAGAACTGAGGCTGCAGTGAGGTGAGTAAATAGAGAAGTGGTCACATGTGGTCTCTTGGAATCAACTGCGGCTGCCCTATTATTAAAAGATTCTTTCTGTAATTCAGTTGCTGTCCCTATGGCTGCACCTCGTGAGGCGTGGCCTCCAGGGGAACCGTTGACTCAAACTGCTCCCTGTGAGTCTTTGCTTGCCTCTAGTGGGACTGTCCCTGAGCCCACGGAGCCGGGCACAAAGAACCTATTCGGGGCAGAAAGTAAAATGCTCGCGCTTTTCTCTCTCTCTATAGCATCGCTCTTTGCCTCCCTGTGCCTTTCTCTTGTCCTGCCTATTGAGTAACATCAGTGTGGGTGTGGGCAGTGTGTGGCCTGCCAACAACGAGACAGTGTGGCCGAGGACACCGGCCTGAGGACTTGTGCACCAGGGCAGGCAGCCGTGGGCGAGCTTCCCGGGAGCTGCTCTGCCAACTCGGACCTGCACCTTCCGCTCTGCCGTAGTCACTCTCACAAGCTAAAGCTGGCATCCCCGGGACTTCCTGGGACTCCCCCCGACAGAGAGGAGCGACACAGCCCCCTAGAGAGCACCCCTCCCTTGGGAGGCAGCAGTGGAAGTGGTCAAGTGCAGATTCCAGAGACGGATTCTAACCCCAGCTCTGCCCGATCCCGACTGTGTGAGTTTAGGGAAGGAGCTTAGCCTCCTCGTCATTTTCTCATCTGAAAAACAGGGACAATAACTTAGTTTGCCTCAGAAGGTCATCACATGGATAAATGATACAGTCCATAGGTGGTGCCTCAGACATGGCTGCCACATGATTCTAGCACTCGGGACACGTAAATGATACTTCCTCGTTTATTTCCCTAATGTCATTAGTTAATCTGTTCATTGAAAACTAGTAGGATACATGTTAAGACTTTAACGGTGGTTATGTCTGGTTGATGGAATATTTGCTTATTTGTATTGTCTAAACTTTATGTAATAAATATATATTACCTTTCTAATAAGAAAAAATAAACTCCTGTTGAGGACCTATGGGGTACAGTGGACTGGGAATGAATGGGTACAGAGGAAACACGACCATTGTGTGACCATTGTCCTTAGTGGAGTTTAAGGTCTGTGCGAGGAGACCACACAGGTAGGTTAATGATATACGAGAGGTGGGTAGTCACCCTCAGGGTGGGCTGCGTATGGAGGCAGTGTCCCTGAAGGGGCACCGGGCAGTACAGAGATCTCAATAGTTTTGCCCCAATAGTCTCTGTGTGTGGTCCTGCCTGATCTGGAAGCAGGAAAGTAAAGCAAAACACAGAGTCAAATGAAAGGGTGGCTCCTCCAGCCTGCCTCGGTGCCCCAGGAGGCGGGGGTAGAATCGTTGATTCCTGTATGAGGTGGCTGCTTCTAGGCAATGGCCTATGTTGAAAAGAAAGTTGAGGTGCTTCATGTAGCACCTCTTACCAATGACACGTATGAGCCCAGGCTGGAAATCACCGGGTCCAGTGGAATAAAGTAATTTCCTGTTTCTCTGTGTCTCCACAGCGTCATTAGCATCATCATTATTTCGGCTGGAGCAATTGCACTCATCATCGGCTTTGGCATTTCAGGTGTGTGACTTCTTGCATGACCACAGTCCATCCCCCTCTCACCAGTAAGTCCGCGGTCGCTCGGTGTGGCAGGAGCCAAAGAGCACAGGCAGTGGGTCCAGAAAGCCTCAGAGCAGAGTGCTGGTGCTCCTGCGTATGGACTGTATTCTCCTCGCATTAGTCACTCCACTCTGCGGGCCTCGGTTTCCTCATTTATGGAGGAAACACTGTATCACCAGGTAGTTGAGAGAATCAAACGGAATGTTCATCAGAGTGTTCTGAGTGCTGTAGAAATTCTGGGATCACAGGTAAAGTGCTGTGGCCGAGCCGCTCTATCAGTAGTTGACCTGGGCGGCTGACTCCTCCGCGATGAAGCTTCAGCAGAAGCGTTGCAGGACATCCAGTCTTTGTGCACAGGGGTCTTACTTAGATACAGAGAACGCTGGCTGTGGCTGTTGCTCCATGTAGGAAACAGAGGCCACTGCGGCACAGATGTCAGCTAACTGATGTCAGTTGCAAGGAACAGTCTTCTCGTTCCTTTTCGGTCTCAAAAGCATCTATTATGGATGGCACGTTAATTAAGACAGAGTGAGCTGGGCCAGCAGCTGTCTTCTGCGGGCAAGTGTTTTGCTCTGCTTCCCTTGAGCTGTCTGCCACAGGCCACCACGTCTATTTTAACCTAGTCTGCGGCCAAAGCTGTCACTTCATAACCTCAGTTTTATAGTTTCAGCTGCCTTTTCTCTGTCACGCTCCTCCATGTGGGTGTGCTGACGTCCTGGATGACCCTTGAAGAGGAGGGCGATGCAGTGGAAAGGCCCTGACCCGATCTGGCCCCAGTGCTATCAGTCACTCACTGGATGACTGTGAACAGCTCCGAGTAGTGGGAGAGGGAAGGAGTCAGACAGAGCTGTTCCTGTCTCTGGTCCGATACTAACTGGATGTGCCCACTGGGGTATAACTTAACTTCCCAGAAACAGTGTCCTCACGAGTAAAGAAGTCAGAGGAGCTGTGGGTATTAAATGACAAAGTGTAAAGTGCCAGACACGTGTGTGTGCTACATGGCCACCACTGACACTTTTATTGATGGCATCAGTGCTATTAATAACTTGCTGTTATTAATGCATTCATATAGCACCTCCTAAAACTTGTATAATTTCCTGCCCACACCAGGCCAAGCCTCCTCTGAAGTCAGGGAGGCGTGAGCAGGAAGCCACAGGACACAGCCTCCCAAGAAATTGTCCATCTCTGGACACTGGGTAAAAGTCACAGTCCCCTCAGAAAGCCAAACAGGCATATGTTTATGCCACCGAAACAGGAGCACTGTGCAAAATGTTTGGAAAAAAATAATATTTTTAAAAATTGTAGTCATCTGAGAAAAAACCAGCTATTGGCCTTTCTTACACTTACTTTACAGTTTTTAATTGTTTTTATTTTTATGTGAGGTGAGGGACACTGTTTTAGTGGGTAGGCTCTCTACATATCTCAGTCTAGCTGTAGATGTCTGCAAAACAGGATAAAAAAGCACAGGATTAGTACCAGATACGCCTGAGTTCACTGCTCCACCGTTTGCTAGATAAAGGGCTTTAGGAAAGCCATTTAATCCCATGGAGCCTCTTTATCCTCATTCACAAAAGGAATGTTGATAATTCTTACCTCCCAGGGTTCTTATCAGGCTTACACTGAGTCACTATAAGTAAAGCAGTTATAAATTGTTTCTTTCCTCCTGGTGCTCTGATCTGCAATCTTTCTAAATGATTCTAGTTAGTGGTTACCAATACTATTGATTGAAGGTTTGGCATGTGGCAAGTCAGGTACTATATTAAGCCCTTTACCTGTGTTGTATCCTATAGACCACTCAGGGACCCTCTGAGGGAACTACTATTATTAAACATCCCCATTTCATAGGTGAAAAAGCTATAGACTGAAGAAGTTGGAAAACTTCCCCAAGGTCACATGTCCAGTTAATGGCAGAGCTGGGACTTGAACCCAGACAGCCTGACACCTATGCCTTGTTCTCAGACAGTGTGCTCTGCTGCTCCTTCCCCACCTTGCTCCTGTATCTAGCCTGGCCCAGCAGCCTTTCTCATTTCTTCTCACAGACGCAGCTACTACCACCAACCCTGCCCCTTCTCTGGCAAGATGGCACTCACAGGGGCCACCCCGGCCCCACTGGGGCAGGCTGAGGCCTATGTTTCCACCTTTGAGCCATGTGCTCTGGTGCCCATCCGGACAGCTTGTTCCAGCAGATTCTGAGTGACCGTCTGCTGAAGGCTTCTAGTATGCTCTCTATGCTCCTGAAATCTGTAGAACTCGTCTTACCGAGTCATTTCAAAGAAAAGTTAATTTTCCAGGTTCATCCAGTGGTGTTGGGCATCCCAGACTCATAGTTTCTGTAAAGAATCCTTGCCCCATGTTACCTGTAACCTCACTTTCCAAGAGATCCTGCTGCTACGTCAGAGGGCAACGGAATAGCGCCTGCCCTGGGTGAACAGAGAACGACTCCGATTTTACTTGCTCTCCTTTCCAGCTCCTCTTTCCCCCACAGACCAGAGCCGTGAAGGGAATAGCTCTCACAAGCTAGAGAATTCATTTTCAGTAAGGGATTGGGCCTTCCAACTTTAAAGGTGTTTGATGGAATCTTAGAGGCCAATGGCATCCTTAAAATCTCTGCTCATTTAAAGGAACAGAAGTCTCTATTAATAGATAGCTGCTTTTAACTCATGTCCTAGAGCCCTTTGGCTCATCGAGTCACATGAGAGCCCCTGACGGTTAAGAGACCTCAGACCAGTCTGTGCTTCCTAGAACACAGCCCCTTGAGCCAATATCTGCTTGCAAGTCTGTATACAGATTTCTTTTTGTGAGAAGCTATAATGACATATATGCTATTGCTTGCACAATTAAATTTTATTTTATCACTTTTAATCATCATTTATTCAGCTAATAAGTACTCATTGACTGCTTTCTGGGTACAAAGCAATGGCTTGGTCCTTGGGTTTTGTTAGATCTCACTGGCCTTTATTCCTCCTCTTTTTTTGATACAGGGAAGGTGGGATTTAGTCAATGTTACATGCATTCCATGTGCCACATCTTTATTGTGACCTGCAGCAGTCTAGACCAGAGCCTGCAGCGGGTCTCTGGGGCACTGCATAGCTGCCTACTTTTACTCATTAAGTTCTCCAAGAGGTATTTCAACAGACCCTCCACCTGCGGGCTCCAGGCCAACACATTACAATTAATTCAGTAGCACAATTACCAAACTAAGATATGCCATTGCTATTTCATTCTCTCCATAAACTGAGCTAATTATGTCTTTTTCCTGAAAAGTAATTTTTTCAAATCAACTTTAATGGCACTTTATAAACCACAATCAAATATACCCTTGCTCTAATGTAGTTATATTTGCTCCATGCTTTTACTGAGAATCTCTGGGTATTTTGACTTCTTTTTCACTGGCTCACATTTCCCCCAAATTTAGATGTGGTAATCCTGCCAAATGTTCCTCCCTCCTACTATCATTTCTGGATAGAACCATTATACAGTCCTTTGATTCCTACTGGCTCCCATTCATTCATTCATTTACTCAACAAATATTATCTTCCTCTGTAGAAGCACAGCACTAGGTACTTGTCTTAGTCTTCTCAGGCTGTCATAACAAAACACCGTAGGCCTGGTGGTTTAAACAACAGAAATGTATTCTCTCACAGTTCTAGGGGCTGAGAAGTCCCCTCACGCCCCAGGTGGCCCCATCTCTAAGGCTTCCATTAGAAGGAGGGGTATCAATCTGCTTCACTCCACTTACTCATTCAAATACAATCTCATCCAGAAACCTCCTTGCAGAGACACCCCAAAATATCTGACAAAATGTCCCGGCACCCAGTGTAGTCAGCATGTAAAATAACCGCCACAGCCTCGTAGGAATTGCAAATATGATCACAACAGTTTCTGCCCTTGAAAAGCTTGCAGTTTAGTGCCGAGACAGACTGGAGACAAAGTAGAGGGGGATAGCTGCTGTAATCAAGGCAAAGGAAGGTGGCCAGGGAGAGTCAAGGGAGAATCTATTCATTTTGACGTGGTAATCAAAGGAGGGTTTCGGGAGGGGGCTGCCATCTAAATAGCCTTGAAGAGAAGAAGAATTTGGATAACTGGTGATAAAGAAGAGAAGGGAACTACAAATTGTTAAGAGCAAGATAAACAGGGTTGTGAAAATAATAGTATAATTGTATAACCAGTAGTAGCCTGGGATGTCTGGGATATCAGTCTGTCAAGTAAAGAATAACTAAAAACAAACCTTTAATGTCGTGTTCCAGAAAATGCCAAGGCAGGGTGTGGGGTGCGCTGCATTTACATCACCCCCCAAAGCTTCATACTACCCACGCGTAGCTTCTCTCCAAACCTCCCACATGAAGGGCCACGCACGGCAGCTGCTCCACACACTAAGGCTTCCAAACGTCCTCCCAGCCCCACCTATGCACGTGCATTTCCTTTGCCCTTTTTCTTACACTTTTTCCTCCACCAGAAGCTCTCTGTTCTTTCTACTATAAACCCACCGGCTTAGCTTCTGTAGGTCTGTCCATTATCCATCACCTTCATCTACTTCATAAAGGTCTAGGACCCAATTAGACCATCCCAACCCCCTACAGGCTAGGGGAGGAGAGCAATAATATCCTCATGTTCATAATGTTTACCTCTAACATTTGAAAAATACCAAGTATGCTTTGCGTATGTACTTTTCCACTGAAAGCAGAAAATCAATAAACCACTTGATATGACTAGACAGTGAGACTGTGAAAAAACCTAGTAGGAAATGAGGCTCTAAGGGGAGTGGCTTAGGCGCACTTCCTGTGTGCCACACAGTGTTTAGGCCTGAAGGCCATGCTGGGTAATCAGAACTTTGCTCCACTGTGCTTGGGAGCCATAGGAGACTAAAGATTAGAAAAGTAAAATGTTCAGATTGTTCTTTAAGCTCTACCTGTAATTTTAATGCTTGTAAAATATACTAGATGGAGGCAAAGATGAGAGGAAGGAATGTCAATAAGGAAGCTAAGAAGTGCTCAGCACCCATTTGTTTGGCTGTAAGGAAGACAGGTTAGTGGAGGCCTTTTTAATGCAAGGTATTTTTTTAAAGGATACTCAGAGATTGGGACAAGAACTAGACCTGAAAACCCTCAGGATCCAAGACAGCTCTGGGGATGGGAGCTCTCTTCATCTTTCTTCCATAGTCCCTCCCAGCACACACACAATTTTTTGTGTCTGGCCCACTCTCCTCTTGAGCTCAAAGACTCATCCTCTCCTTGGCTTCACATCCAAGCCCCAGAAGGAGCCTCTCAAGAAGGTTCAGCTAATTAAATCAGCCTTAGAGGCGTCCGCAGTCAACAGCCCTCAGTTTACAGAAAGAACAGTTGGTTGGTCCTTCAAAGACCGAGTGGGCTGTTGGCTGGGCAAGTGGGGAAGAGGCAGTGGACATGGCTGGCACCATGATAATATCCTACTGGTGGTACGTGGGGAGAGAAGGGCATATCTTCTGTCTTCGGCCAGAAACATAATTTAAGTACTATTCTTCATTGTGCCATGGCTAGCACTATACTCTTGACCGGGTCACTTATCTCCTCTATGCCTTAGTTTCTTCATCATTTAAATAGAGATAAAAGTAACAGTACTTTAGCCCTGGCTGGTTTGGCTCAGTGGATTGAATGCTGGCCTGTGAACCAAAGTGTTGCTGGTTCGATTCCCAGTCAAGGCACATGCCTGGGTTGTGGGCCAGGTCCCCAGTAGGGGGCATACAAGAGGCAACCACACATTGATGTTTCCCTCTTTCTCCTTCCCTTCCCCTCTCTCTAAAACTAAATAAATAAATCTTTTTTTAAAGTAACAATTCCTAGTCACATTTAGTTAACACTACGTTTCACTTTTTGTTAACTAAGAAAAATACCTTATATGTATAATTACAGTTTACAAATCAAGTTCATAATCGTTTGACTTGATCCTCACAGGAACTGTAGAGTTAGGTAAGACAGATATTACCTCCATTTTTCTGAGATCCAGAGAGGTTACATGATTCATTCAAGGTTACACAGATACTAAGTGGCAAAGTCGGGACTTAAATTCTCATCTTCAAACTCCAAGTCCAGCACGTTCCCCTTTTGTTACCTCTCAAGGACTGGGTTGACTGGTCTCAAAAAGCTGTTGGGGCAGATCTGCTGTAGCTATCAAAACCATGTCTTCCCGCCCTTTTCATTTTTCTTATGTCTTCTTCTATGCCTCTCCTGTTCTTCTATATTTTGAATTTATTACAGGAGTCTCTGTTTGGCTTTTAGTAATGAAGGGTTCAGTTGTAGACATTCTGAAGCTTCCCTTGGCATTGACCCTTGCTTCCTGAATTGCAGGGACACACTCCATCACAGTGACGGCTTTCACCTCAGCCGGGAATATCGGAGAGGATGGAATCCTGAGCTGCACTTTTGAACCTGACATCAAACTTTCTGATATCGTGATACAGTGGCTAAAGGAAGGAGTTATGGGCTTGGTCCACGAGTTCAAAGGTGGCAAGGATGACCTGTCAGAGCAGAATGAAGTGTTCAGAGGACGGACAGCAGTGTTTGCTGATCAAGTGAGAGTGGGCAATGCCTCTCTAAGGCTGAAAAATGTGCAACTCACAGATGCTGGCACCTATAAATGTTACATCATCACTTCTAAAGGCAAGGGGAATGCTAACCTTGAGTACAAAACTGGAGGTAAGTTATTTTTAGACAGAGGGAAAGAAAGTGCCAAAAGGTATTTGAGTCTACAGAGCACAGTGAGCTGACGAAATATCATGCTCCTGTGTTCAGGAGCCACTAATGTCAGACGAGACCCTCAAAGTCTGTGAGCAGCTGTCCTTGCCACGCAAGACCCACACCAACTCTGGAAGGAGCTTGCTAGAATATTAGGTCTTCAATGCTTCTGTTTCAGACTCCAGCTTCTTCTGAATTTTCTTATATATTCCCTAAAATATTTTGCCAAGAGAAATATGGTCTTTTTATTGTAGCCTCCAGTATTGTGAGTGAGAGAGGCCCATTACCTGGGCTGAGACTTTTCTGTGCTAAGCAGGCCCTAGCCCAAGGCTGGAATCAGTGCCACCAGGGACACGTGACAGTGGAACTCATTATTGAAAAGTCCAACAGTAATTAGACAAAACGACGTTGTCCTACAAACTCATGAACCCTTCCCTCAATGAAATCCACCCTTTCTTACCAACCACACTTAACACTTGTTTTCTGAATGTCTGTATAGGAGACTCAGAGAGATACTCAGATAGGAGTAAAAAGACGATTTGTCCTTCTTGCAGAGCTCACAGTGTGGAGCTTACAGAGTTGAGCATTGAGGCAGAGATGAGGAAAATATGCAAATACCTGTAATATTTGGTAGAGTGTACAAAATGCTTTAAGAGAAGTATAACAGAAATGACTTGAGGATTCAGAGAAAGAAAGAAATCATATCTAACCCACGGGAATGGAAGGGATAGGAAAGCCCCTGTGGAAAGAATTTGGGAGGCATCTTGACGGATAGGTAGATAGCATCCCGAGACCTCCTAGCCTAAGCCTGCCCGCACAGGCCTTTTCGGACACCTCCTAACACGTGCGTGTAATGGTTTGAAGCATAGATCTAGAGCCAGAGTTGGGCAAATACAGTGAGTGGCCTGGGCCTCCCTGGGCAACCTCCCGGGACCTCAGTGTCTTCATTTTGAATTGGGGCTCAGCATGGTCATGTCAAAGGCACAGTGGAGCTGACTGAAAGGACTTTCAGTGCAAAACTGGAACAACCTGAGCAACAAAATAAACAATATGGTATTAAATTATAACTGGAAGTATAACATACAGGTGAGCCCATACTTATATATAAATACGAGAGAGAGGAAACAAATCTTTACAGATGAATTTCAAACAATGTGTTTCCATCTCTCCCCGTTCAGAAAGTGGAGCCTATAGTACATTTTTCTCCCCTTCCCCCTCCCACTCCCCCTTAGGCTTAGTGAGGTCCCCGCTTCCAAAGAAACCTGGCAAGCGCTGTCTCAGCAAAGCAATTGAAGGTGACATCACCAATGATAAGACATGCTGACGGCACAAGAGGTGAAATGATGAGAAGGGCACTTCACCTCCTACAGTCTTTCTTTCCAGAACCCATAACCTCAGTCTGATCGTGAGGCAACACCAGGCAAATTATAATAGAGGGTTACCCTACAAAATACCTGAACAGTGCTCAAAACTATCACAGTCATGGGGAACATGGAAAGTTGAGAAACTGTCGTAGGCCAGAGGAACCCGAGAGCACATGACAAATAAATGCAATGTGGTATTCTGGCTGGGATCCTAGGACAGAAAAAGGACATTAGTGGAAAAACTGGTAAAATCCAAATAAAGCCTGGAGTTTAATTAATGTAAAGTACCAGCGACGGTTTCTTACTTTTGACAAATGCACCATGGTTATTTCAGATGCTAGCACTAGGGAAAGTGGATGAGAAGTCACAATAACTCTGCATCACTGCTGCAACTTTTCTATAAATCTAAAATTACTCCAAAATTAAAGCTCGTTTTGTTTTAATGGGGACAATAATAAATATCCCTAGGACTGTTATGAGGACCAAATGAAATAACGTCTGGAATTTGGCACCCAGCACAGGGCGCACCCTCAATAAATTTTGTTCATTGCCAGGAACACTCAGTTTCCCGTATCACCTCCCACAAGCTTGTTCCCTGCCTGCTCTGGGCATGTGAGTCTCTTCTCCTTGACAGAGAGGAGGCTCTTTAAGGGCAACAAGAGGGCTTTCCTTTCACTACTCAGCACCAACACAGTCCTGGGCAAAGGAAGGTGCTAAATAAGTTCATAAATTGTATCTTGCCAGTTTGGAGCCAAATGTCCAGGCCCTAACATTGTCTACAAGTGCATGTCTGTCTAGATAGACGGGGAAGCCAGTCTTCATTTCAAAATGCAGTAACCTCCCCAGTGAGGAGCATTTTATCTTGGAGGAGAACAAACGCCTGTCTCTAACTCTGGACACCACAGCAGGGCAGCCTCGGCCCAGGCAAGCTCCAACTACCCATGAGGACGAGGCCTGCATGCGGGATGTCCTTGAGTGACGGGTGAATGCTGTTCGCTCCTTCCTTCTCCCTCTCCCTCCCACCCTAACTAACTATTTTCTCAGGCAGAACAATACATAATATCCAGGAAGTGTCACAGGTATCTGGGAAAATACCCAATTTTCCTAATGAATAGACTTATTTTTTTTTGTAATCACTGACACTCCTCTTACTTGGAGAAATTTATCTGTTATAACAATTATACCTAGAACTTCAGTCTCTGGAGTTTGTGATATTGGCCAAAGAGTTGTGATGCACAGAAATACTGTGAGCAAATCATTATTTGCATCCAGAGTATAATAGGCCATACACAGAGAATCCATTGGGGAAGTGAAGTATTACAAAACTTAAATGATAGAAGTTGCTGTGTTTTTAAAACATAGTACTTGAAAGCCTATATTATCTTATCTCTTTGACCTTGACACCTGCTCTTTCTGACCTTCAACCCTGCAGCCTTCAGCATACCAGAGATCAACGTGGACTACGATGCCAGCTCAGAGAGCTTCCGGTGTGAGGCTCCCCGGTGGTTCCCCCAGCCTACGGTGGTCTGGACATCCCCAGCTGACCCGAGAACCAACTTCTCAGGAGTCTCCAACACCAGCTTTGAGCTGAATTCTGAGAACGTGACCATGAAGGTTGTATCTGTACTCTACAACGTCACAATCAACAACACATATTCCTGTATGATCGAGAACAGCATTGCCAAAGCCACAGGGGATATTAAAGTGACAGGTGGGTTCCTTCATGATTTTTGTATGGGTTTATTGGAGTGAATCAAGTCCCAATTAAAATCAAATTTCTATAACAGATATAGTACATACCAGGGCACAGAAAGCTCTAGAGTTTTCTTCACAGAGACCCTGATCACAGTTCCAATTGGGATTACACTATATAAGAAGACTAATACAAAACAATATTTATGGCATAATAGGTCCAAGATGGAAATTAAGCTTCATCTTATATGCCTTCTTACTGCCTGGAGAGCAGTGTTTATTTAGGATTCTGAGGCCTGTCTCACTCAGTAGGACTGTCTTGGTGAAGCAGTGTGGAAGTGATGATTATTTGATGGCTCTGATATATTCATTTAATATCTATATGAAAAGTCCTCTGGCCCTGGCTGGTGTGGCTCAGTGGGCTGAGCTCGGGTCTGCGAACCAAAGGATCGCAGTTCGATTCCCAGTCAGGGCACATACCTGGGTTGCAAGCCAGTTCTCAGCAGGGGACGCATGAGAGGCAACCATACATTGATGTTTCTCTTCCTCTTTCCTTCCCTTCCCCTCTAAAGATAAATAAAATCTTTAAAAAAAAAAAAAAAAAAAAGGTCCTCTGACACTAGTTTGCTTCGAGCCTGCCTTAGAGAAGGCTTTCCGTCTGAAGACAAAAGGCCTTAGGGTCTGCCTTCATCCTCCTCCGCGCTTCTAGGACTGGCTCACACTCCCACTAATACTGGCCCTGGGTTCATCGGAAAGCTCTAGCTGGAACTGGCCTCCCGGGCTGAGAAGACCAGGCCCCGGGGAGGCCCAGCACCCTAGTCTCCCTGCAGTGCTTTAGTGCACACAAAACCTGGGACTGAGCCAGCGCCCAGCAAGTGCACTGGCTGGGTTATGACTTTTAAAACCACCCGTCTCGGGGCTGCGTTGAATTCAGACCATAGTGGAAGGAGTAGGTCAGGAGAACTGCTGTCTTGTATGAAGCACAGTACCATACAGAACACCTTGCACATCCTAAGTTCCCCATGAATGTTTGCTGACTTTAACTAAATAAACCATATTTTCAGCGGGTTATATTTTATTTAAAATTATATACATGAAAACCTATGGAACAAGAGAAAATATCTGCAAATCGTACATCTGATAAATGGTTAATATGCAGAATACATAAGAACTCATACAACTAAACAACAACAAAAATCAAATAATTTGATTAAAAAGCAAGCAAAGGACTTAAATAGACATTTCTCCAAAAAAGATGTATGAATGGCCAATAGGCAGATGAAAAGATGCTCACCAGCACTAATTATCAGAGAAATGCAAATGGAAGCCCCAGGTGTTGGTGAGGGCGAGGAGAAATTGGAACCATTGTGCATGTCAGATGAGATCCTAAAATGATGTGGCCACTAGAAAACAGTATAAAGGTTCCTCAAAGAATTAGAAATAGAACTGCCACCTGATCTAACAACCCCACTTCTATGTGTATGTCCAAAAGACCGAAAGGAGGGTCTCCAAGGGGTGCTGGCACAGCCACGGTCCCAGCAGCATCATTCACAGCAGCCACGTCCATCAACAGGTGAACAGCTACACAAAATGTGGTGTGTGCATAAAACGGAATACTATTCAGTCTTAGGAAGGACGGAAACCCTTTCACATGCTACAGCACGGATACATTTTCAGGACGTTATGCTAAAAGCCAGTCACAGAAGAACAAATACTGTGTGACTCCACTTACGTGAGGTGCCTAGACTAGTCAAATTCATAGAGACAGAAAGTGGAATGATGGTTACCAGGAGCTGGGGGAAACAGGAAAGGAAGGGGAATTATCACTTAATGGATACAGAGTCTCAGATTTGCAAGATGAGAAAGTTTAGGAGATTGGTTTCACAATGAGTAGACTTAACACTACTGAACAGTGGACCTAAAAACAGTTAAGATCACAAATTTTATCTTATGTTTCTTTTTTACTGCAGTAAAAAATATTTAATTAAAAAAGCAGAGCCCTGCCTGGTGTGGCTCAGTGGACTGAGCACTAGCCTGCAAACTGAAAGGTTGCCAGTTTGATTCCCAATCAGGGCACGTTCCTGGGTTGTGGGCCAGATCCCTGGTTGGGGGCATGTGAGAAGCAACAGATCCATGTATCTCTCACACATTGATGTTTCTCTCCTTCTCCCTTCCTTCCCCTCTTTCTAAAAGTAAATAAATAAAATCTTTAAAAGAAAATTAGAGAGCTCTTCCACTATCCTGTGGAACAGGATAACTGTACTGGTTAGAATGCTGTTAGCTACCTATAACAGAAAACCAACTCAAACCTAAGCTAACAGGGTAAGTTATTAGAAGGGTGTCAGGATGTCTCATGGAACGAAGGTACGCTTTATTCATTTCCATTTTATTCTCTCTTTACTCTCTAATTTACTCTGTCTTGTTGTACTTGCCAACAGCTCCTAGCTTTTAAAGGCTTTTCCCTCAATAGAGTAACCAGGCTGAACGTCAGTCCCTCAGTCCTATTCTGCATTTCCAGAAAGACTGACCTTGGTCAACTGCCCACACCTAGACCCACGAGGCATTCCGTACCTGATGAAAGGCCTTCCCAGAAGAGAAGGGGGAATGAAGCACTGGGCATTTGAAATAATGGATGTTAACCACAGTATCTAAGTTTAGACCTCAATAAAAGGCTCTACACTCTATAACTAATGCCTTCTGATAGAAAGAGCAAGAACTAAATAAACGACAGAAACGGAGCACAACTTGTATTCAGTGAGCAGATTATTTTTCCACATGTGTTTGTTGGATACATCAGAACAAGTGTTCCATGGGTCAGCACTAAGACTAAGTACAAATTTTGGTAGCATGACGTAGCTCAAAGCTTAAGAATAAATAATACAATTCTTCCTTGCCACCCATAAAGTACATACTCCATACATGTTTTTACTTGTCATTTTTTTACCTTCACCTGAGGGCATGCTTATTGATTTTAGAGAGAGAGGGAGAGAAACACTGATGTGAGAGAGAAACATTGACTGGTTGCCTCTGATACGCACGCAACCTGACCAGGGATCTCTCCTACACACCCCAACCGGGGACTGAACCCTCAACTCTGGCATGTGCCCTGACTGTGAATTGAACCCTCAACCTTTTTGGTGCAAGGAACAATGGTCCAACCAAGTTAGCCAAACAGGCCAGGGCTCCAAACAGGTTTTTAATTCTTTTTTTAAATGAGGAAGTTAATTTAATATTCTACTATGATATCCAATGTATAATCATATTGTTGGTATCAACAAACATATCTTTAAACAAGTAGATGAGCCCACAGGGTTTACATCCTGTGTTCATTGACTATGTGAGTAATTCAGGTCACTCATTCAACAAGTATCTGTGTGCTAAATATATAAAAAGCAACATTTAAGTCCCAATAAACACTGAGATAAATACACTGTTGTCATAGAGAAGTTAATCCCAGTGCAGCTATGGTGCCTGGGGGAAAGTGCTGTTCATTACGACTCTAGTGGCTCAGCAGATGAGGCAGGGTTCAGGCCCGGGTTTACAGTAGAAGGATGGTTTTGACAGAATAGGAGGGCATGGGGTCAGGAGCCCATGTCAATGTCCAGGGGAGGAATTATGAGGGGCTTAGTCGGGCAGTGGCCATGGGAAAGAAAGGGGGAAGAATCAAAAATTCATGGAGAAAATAGTCTACAAGCCCAGGCCTGGCAGCTCAGTTGGTTAGTGTTATCCTCACTGTGGCAAGGTCGCAAGTTCGACCCCCGGTTGGGGCACATAAAAGAACAAAAGAAGCAACCAATGAATGCATAAATGAATGGAACAACAAATAAAGAGTTTATCTATCTATCTATCTATCTATCTATCTATCTATCTATCTTTCTGTCTCTCTCCTCCTGCCCATCCCCTTCCTCTCTCTCTCTCAAATCAATACATAAAATCTAAAAGAAAAGAATCTACAGGACTTAGGGGCACAAAGGTAAAGGACAAGAGAAAGAGCAAGTCAAATGAGAGTGATATTTCTTCCCAGGTTGCTTAGGAGGTTGGTAATGCCACCAACAAACAATTACAATCAGCAGCAACATGTTTAGAAAACAGATGAGAGTTCTAGAGATGCTTGAAAGTGGCTGCTGTTTCCCTGGGCAGAGATGTCCAGTGGTTAGATTTTACCCAGCATATGACTGGCTTTGGGGAGATGGCTCCACCCCTGTTCCACCCACTCCCTCCCGTGAGAAGAGGTTCCCACCAATGTAACCCTTCTAGCCTCTCTGTTCTCCCCTCTTTTATGCCTCACCAGAGAAGGAGAAATTACTAATTTATCTGACTGGTGAGTTTATCAGAAGAAACCAGACATAAGAGGCTCGGCTCCCCATTTTTCCTTCTCTCTAGCGACCCTCAGGAAGTGTAATCTCTCCTCTGCTCCTCCAACCCACCCATGTTGCAGGGCGGAACCGGCCCTGCAGGAGGAGCCTGCCCCAGTCCGGGCTGTAGCTCAAGGCCCTGCAGACAAAGCTGCGTCCTTTACCAGGTTTACTGGCAATAAAGGTGACATTTTGGTCTTCCAGTTGCCTCACTGTCTTTGTCCTACTCTTTAATTGATTCAGAACTCAACCGGAAAAGGGGATTTTATTAAACTCCTTTGAACCCTGATAATAGATGTTCAAAAATATTTACTAAATAATTATGTTTTTTAACTGACACATATAGTGGCAACTGTAGCAACTGTAAACCCACATGTGGAACTCAGGACAGAGTTCACAATAAGGAGGTGCATTTGGAAATGATCGGCCTAATAGAAGTGATGCTTATTAGGCCTAAGAGCCACTGTTACTGCTGTTTTCATAGCTAACACTTATTGAGCACTTACTATGTGCCAGACATACTCTAAGTGCTTTACTTGTATTAACTCATTCATCCTCATAAGAATCCTGGGACACAGATTATTGTTAGTTTTAAAAAACTCTTTTTTAAATAAGATTTGATTTATTTATTTTTAGAGAGAGGGGGAGGGAGAAAGAGAGGGAGAAAAGCATCAACGTGTAAGAGACACTTGGGTCGGTTGCCTCTCGCACGCCCCCAACTGGGACTTGGCCAGCAACCCAGGCACCTGCCCCGATTGGCGGCGACCTTCCAGTTTGCAGACCAGCACTCAATCCACTGAGCCATACCAGCCAGGGCTGATTATTAATTTTCGTCCTACTTTATAGATAGAGAAATTGAAACACGTATAGATTGAGTAACTAGAGTCACACGGCGAGGAAGTGTCAGAGACAAAATGAGCTAAATGAGATCGGACTGTCTAGGGAGAAAATAGAATAAAGAGTAATTTAATTTCTTCACTTCTTTTCTCTACTTCAAAATGAGAACAATACTTTCTCATCACTGTGTAGTGATGTCAAAAAAGTCAATAACGCAGAACCTGTAAAGGTCACTGCCTAGAGGGAAAAATGTGTCTGAAACCAAGGACTGGCCGCAGCTATTTGTTCAGCCTCTTCTTTGTTCGGAAGCCAATAATTATCTCTTCATTGGTATAGTTTTTCATTTGGCTGAGTGCTAACGGGACTGGACCACAGAATAGAATTTTCTTTGAAAAAAGGGGAAGCTTGGCTTTTACGCCAGTGACAGAAAAGTAGAGACTGTGGTACAAAACTGCCCCCAAACTGGGTATGGCTGAAGACATCTAGCCTCTCTTCTGTGACCCTGAACTTTCTCTCTCCCTTTGCAGACTCTGAGATTAAAAGGCGGAGTCACCTAGAGCTGCTGGACTCAAAGGCTTCCCTGGGTGTCTCGCCTTCCTTTGCTGTCAGCTGGGCACTCCTGTCTCTCTCCCTGGCCCTAAAATAACGTGCCTTGGCCCCACAGAGACACGCAATGGCATTGGTGCCACAGGTGAGGAGAATCATGGGCGGTGGGGGGATCAGCTCTGTGGGTGCTTGTGTTCCTCATGAGAGTCAGGCAGGCCCCAGCGTCAGCCCTGAGGATGACCCCTGCCCTGAAGGGGACACTCAAGTCATGCCTCCTTTCCCTTAGCATCACATGGTACCATGTGGCCTTGATAAACACCATCAAAGTACAGAGAACAAAGCCGTTCCTGAATAAGAAATACACCCATACAGTGGCAGGCAGACGTTCAGTTCTCCGTAAATGTTTGCTGGGTGGTTGTAATTGTGTCTTATTGCTGTTATTTTCAGAGTCCCAGGAACCTGCAGAACTATTTTTCACCACAAGATATGACCTAGTTTGATATTTCTTGGGGGAAATGAATTCATGTCTAAAATGCTGGAGTGAACATAAAAGATCAAGAAGCAAAAAGAAGCCAAAAGCAAACCATAGAAAAGACTCAATATGAACAAGATAAATCTCTCCTCAAAGACATGTATTAAAAGTTGGGAAAATAATTCATCTGAACTGGAAAAGTGTGTTAAGACTTCTGAGTATTGATAAAACACATGTGGAGACAAGTGCACCCTCCCCGCCCCCCACATCTCAGGGACCTCCCCTTAGCCATCCCCATGTGGAGAGTGAGTACGGGAGAGTGCAGCCCCCTCGTCTGCAGATCTGTAGTTATCCTGCTGTGCAGTCGCTCTGGGGAAGTTCCCAGAAAGTTTCTGTTGCAACATATCCACATTTAAACTTCTGTGGAAACAGGAGGAAGCTGCTAATCAAATGCTGCTTCACAGTTCAGAGGTGGCTGCACCTTAGCCACAGGTCAAATGACTCACTTTTCATTATGCTGCTTCCAAGTGTCTTGGCGTCTCCTCCCACCTAACGAATACTAAAGAAATGTGGGAAATGATTGCAATTTGAACATAAAAAATGTAGTGGGGTAGCACATTCCCTAAATTATCTGAGTACCTTCTTTTTAAAAACAAAGGCCATTTTATTTCTCAGATAATGTTTATCCTTGAGGGGTCTCGGAAAGGGCCCTCCTCTTGACTGTATGTGACTTTCATTAAGTTGTCACAAGGGTGGAGGTCTCTCCTCTGTAGCCCCCGTGGACTGTGATGGCCTTAGCTTTCAACAGCATCTGGAGCAGGGAGACTCACTCAGCTAGAGCAATTCTGCAGACCCGCAGGGGCATTTAGAAGTGTTGGAAGACAAGTTTAGTTGTCCCAGTTTGAGGGGGAAGGGTGCTACTGGCATCTAGGGAATAGAACCCAGGGACACTGCTCAACACCCCACAATGGACAGGACGTCAACCCACAGCAAAGAACTATCCAGCCCAGCATGCCACCCATGCTGAGGCTAGGAGACCCTGAAGCAGAGGAGAAAGGGTCTTTAACACAGGCGTCAGCCTCTGTCTCTTTGGCTGCTGTCTCAGCCCCGAGAGCCAGAACTCAGTGTGGGGTGACCAGGAATTTCTGATGGCATCACTGCAGCTGGCTGCACTTCTGAGTTCCCTTCCCTTAAGTTTCTCTACAAATAGAATTATGTGAGGGAGCTGCCTGGGTTCCACCTCAAGTCCTCTCACTCTGAATTTAGATCTCAGAACCCCGCCTAGTCAAAATTCAAATTAAGCGACACCTTCCTTGAAGCACACAGAGGAATCTGAAAGCAGGGACAACAAACCTTTGAAACGAGGCCCTGAGGAACGCAGCTTTGACAGGAAAGAACATTTTCTTCCCAGTCCCCTACCCACACCTTTCAGGAGTTGACCACTGCTTCCCTGGCACTCTGGACCCACCACGACTGTATTACATTTTGTTAGAGAAAACTTGATGTTATAGTTCCGATCACTCAAGAGAATGATTAAATACACATTTCCTACACTGTTGTCTGCTTGGTTTGTCAGAGAAAGTGAGTGTAAGGGAAGATGGATAAAAAGTCGTAAATCAGGTTTTAAAGATTACTACCCAGCATATGGCAGGCCTTCAGTAAGTGTCTGTTGAATGAATGGATAAATGAGTGGGAGGGCATGAGAGGAGCCTGGGTGTGGGCCAGGTGGCTGGGTCTAGTCTCCTAGAGAGACTCTGCTAGGCTTTACCAACCTGGCATGTCCCTATCTGCTAACGTAAGTGGCGACAGTGGGCTCAAGGCAGATAAATGTGGGGCAGTACATGCAGGTGGACAAACCCACTGCTCCAGTGTCAAAAAGCCTAACTTTCACTACTCAGGGATTGTCAAATTCTCAAATCTCAGAAGAAACACTTCAAAATCATCATTCCCGGGCCTCTCACTTTTCAGATGAAGACCCGGAGGTGAAGTGTGGGTAATTGGCTATCTTTGGGTTATAAAACTTGCCCAAAATCATACTGGTAATTGGTAATATAATCTACAGAAATTTTAATTTTTTAATTCCCAGAGGACTTTGGGAACAGCTCTTCCCTGCTGCATTCTCAGCTTGTTCCCAATTGGCCTTTACAAGAAGAAAACATTGCGGACCCAAATCAAGAAAGCAAACGGAAAGCATCGACACCCCCAAGCCAGGTTCACTCTTTGGCCTTGTCCGTGAGCACAGAGCAGATGCATCGTATCAGTTGAAGTGCCAGGACCAGAATATCAGGTACACCACGGACATCTGGGGAAGCTCAAATCTAGATGCCAAAGGCTAAAACATTTCAGAAGTATTAACACACTCGAAGGAACAAACAATTCAAACTTTAAAGTGAAGAATTGAAGAACAGACTACCAGCTATACCCAAGGTACATGAACATTTGTTTTAATGGCACAGTGACCTCAATCTGTGCATTGTTCATTGGAGAAGGAAGTGGACAGGGGATATTATTGCATAATAAGGCTTCTGCCCAATGACCTATGGGATGCACTTTGGTTCCATTGCCGAAACACATAATTCCCAATCTCCCTCCAGCTGGTGAAGTCTCCATACATCCAACTGGCTGCTCTAATTCAGACTTCTATGTGCCTAAGCTCCTTGCTCCTTTTAACCTTGTTTTATTTCCTCTTTCACATCAGTCATCTTCAGGGGTTTCAGTATGGCAGCCACAAGTAAAAATTAGCAGTCACAAAAACAGAACCTTAGTTGCACCCTCTCTTTTCTACCTATCCTTAAGCAAAAATCCATCTTTCCCCAGGAAGCTGTCTCTGAGCAGTCCTGTTTGCCATGACTTCACTGTTCTTTCATCTATATATGCTGTTTAGCCCAGAATCACACACTATCTTATTGACAGACCTTCACTGCTATGCACTTGGACTCCCTCCAAGATGATGACACAATAGGTAAGGATGGGAGCTGAGGCAGTCCTTGGAAGTTTGCTCTTAAGAAAGGGTCAGGCAGGTGTTCCGAGGAAGCCTTGTTTACTGGTGTTGTCTGCTGGGCTGCAGCAGGCAAATCACGGCCTAGAAGAGGGGTCTGCAGTCAGCACCACGGGAGCCCCCGAGTCTACTGAAAATCACGGCTCCCCGACAGAGCGAATACCTGGGTCTTCTCAAAGTCATAACTTCACCCTCAGCCTTATGTAATCTCTTCCGTTCAAATCAAATTGCCTGGCATGAGAGGTATTTTTAGCATTTTCAATTGTAAAGTCCCTTACCCAAAACTCTAAACAATACTTCCAATAAGAACTTTATGGATAACTGGGTCCCCTATTCCTTCTTTAGAACAAGACAAAAGTGGCGCTCAGTTAATCCAGAATGTGGGCGATAGCAGACTGAGACAACTTTCTTTCTCTTTGCCTTCCATATGTGCAGTTATCAAGCTTTTATTTGCAACCATTCATGTGTTATTATGGTAGGGGAACTATTTAGGTTTTGACAGATAAAATTCCAGGACTAGGGTACTTGATGTGACTTTGATGAGATGGTTCAGGTAGCCACCCATGACTTAAGTGGCAGGTCCAGTCTCACACCTGGGTAGGTGAGGCTGGAAGGGTACCAGGGCGACAACACAGAGCAGTTTCTAGCGAGAGGCCGCAGGTGCCCGGGGAAGATACCACATCACTTCCTGCTAAGTGACTGTTGTCTTCAATTCCTCTCAACTCTCCTTTTACCCATTTTCTCCCATGTGGCCCGTTCAACCCTCCTCTAGGCCCCGATTATTCTCAGTGTTTCTACCATTCTTTCCAACAAGGTCTGCCCTGTCAAAAATGCTCCCTGGCATCCAGCTCCACATGGGAAGGTAGTTTATTGATTACCTTTTCGATAGCTTAACGTATTGCTCTCCCATGGAAGCAAATCCTTACTTCATCGAAAGGAAGCTATAAGTGAAAATATCAAACAAAAACATCAATCTAGTGAGAGATACTTGGGGTGATTCGTAGCAAGAGAGGCCAAAGTAGAGGAAAAAATTAGAAATGAATAGTGAATGATCAGGAGGGGCTTATCAGTTTAATCAATAAACCCTTATAAGAATTTATGTTGATGTAAATTAGGGTATTACTATTCTCTCTTAACTTAATGAACAAAGAGTAACACAAACACAATCAGGATAGAGATGCACGTGTCAGGCAAACACTTGGCTCCATTTAAGTCTCTCCCCACCTCACCCACTTATGAGCCAGAGTCTCTGCCTGCCCGCTTTCAGGGACAGGTCTGAGCACGCAGAAGACAGCTCCTGCTGTGTGCCCAAACGTCCTTCTGGGTCCCTGTTCAATAGCACCTGCCTTGTTTAGTAACTATGACGATTAAAGAGATCACTCATAAAAAGCAGTTATTACATCGCCTAGCTTAATAGTTTGCCAGGACTGCCATAACGAAACACCGTAGATTGGCTGGCTTAAACAACAGAACAGTTCTGGGACTACAAACCCAAGATCAAAGTGTCAGTAGCTGTGGTTTCCTCTGAGACCACTCCCATCGGCCACCTGCTTGTTGTGTTTCTTTGTGCACCTGCACCTCTGGCATCCCTCTTCTTAAAAGGGTGTCCACCCATACTACTTCATTTCACCTTCAGCACCTCTTTAAGGACCCTGTCTCCAAACACAGGCACATTCTGAGGGATACTGCAGGTTAGGATAACACTGGCATATATGAAGAAACTAATAAAAATGAGCTATTATTAAGTACATGTGTTGGGCAGAGCAAACGAACATCAAGACAACCAGACAGAGAAGAGGAACAACTTTGCTTTTTCACCCGCTATGTGACCCAGAGTGTTTAAGGTTTCAACAGTTGGCATACAGTGAAAGCTTTGTCCAAAGAGCTACTCATTCAAACCAGGTCAGAGGACACTTGAAAACTAGAGCACAGAGGCTCAGCAGGTCGATGCTGTTAAGGGAACTGAATTGGCTAATGGCCTCCCAAACCGCAGGTTACTATTTTCAATGATACAAAAGACCATAGAGCATGGAAAGATGAAAAACAAAACCAGTGTGGGTCCAGTCTTCAAAGGAGGAGAATCGAGTGATAGGGGCGGTTGGGCTCTGTGTGACCAAGCTAGATGGCCGAGTACTGAGGTCATCATTGGGCTAGAGGAAGATTACTAGCTCTTCTGTCCTGGGGCTCTCAGAATAGAAAATAACTTTTTCCTTTTCTTTTTTTTCCCTTCTCACTAAAATCCTTTTCACAGTTCTTGATGACAGAACACATCTGTGGTTGACCAAAGTCATGCAGAAGGGACACAAACACACTTACCTCTGGTGCTCAATAATGCAGATGTGCAAGAGGGCTTGTCTGGGGAGAACTTCCGAGCAGAGTCGAAGGCAGGGCAGCCTCCGAGCCCCTGTTAGAGCAGCACACTCAGGACATGCACAGCCGCACTGGGCTCACTGGGGCCACGGTTCAGCCAGGGAGTGGTCAGCTGCCCCATAGAGAGTGGCCCGTCCCCACAGCAATGCTCTGTATATTTGAAGGAAAAGAAGAGAAGCCGACCATGAGGCTATGAAAGCCCTCAGTTGAGGAAATGACCTTGTTAGAGTGGGGATTCCTCCAACACTCAGGGCCTAGTATTAGTTGTTCTCCCACCGAGGGCTTCCCAGGCCCCTCAGATGTGCATCTGCTCAGTGCAGGGAAAGGAGTGATCACATTACCCATCTACCAGCCATTGTAGTAAGGGTCAGGCAGTCCTCACTACACGCAGATGGCATCGGACTATTTGTTGAAATGGCAGCACCAAGGGTGGCTGACTTTCTCTAAGAGCTTCCACCTGCCTGTGGCCACACTGTGCCAGAGCCCTGCCAGGTGAGGAGAGAAGAGGCCTGCGGGACTCTGCTCAGAGGTACATTGGGGCCCAAGCTGTACTTCTAAAACGAGCAAACAAACGAAAACCCTCTGGAGTTACACTGCCAGAAAGGGCTCTGAAGTGGACCTCTAAGTTCTTTTTTGTCATTTGAAGACCACACAGCCTCTCATTCCTGAGCACAGAGAGCTTCCCAACCCACTGAGTGACCAAACCCTTTCCTTTGTCTTGTTTCAGGTGCCCGGCCGCTCCCTGGCCTAACAGTGGTCCAGAACCCGATCATTAACAGTATAAGTGCTAAAAATGTCTCACACATATATGGTAAAGCAGGTGTAATTCGCACAAAAGGAAAAGGGGTACTTTAACCAAAAAATCACATACATTTTTAGTAGTTTAAAAAAATCTGATGATTATCAAATTTTTCTCTTCAGCTTTCATCACTCCCGATCACAGCATATTCCCACCTATCTCCGGTTACTTCATTCTAAACCAACCCAAACAAGCTCATTTTTGTAAGTTGTGGTATCACTGAAGTCATCCAAGCTAGGACTCTCAGGGTCCTCTTTGACCTCTAAAAAGTCCTAATCAATTGGTTATCAATTCTTGTCAACTGTACTGCAAAAATGCCTCTATAATCTACCCTCTTCTCTTCACTCTATTGTTCATGCTTTAATTCAGCATCTGCTCTCAAGCGAACAATTGCCCAGCCTTTAAACTAATCCCTCTGCTTCCAATTGCATTTTCATTTTTTTGATTTTTGATCCAAGAACCACTCCTTTGAGGCATGGTGGGAATATAAATTTAACCTCTCCCAAACAAAGTAATTTGTTTCAGTAGGATAAAAGCACAGACTCGTTACACCTGATTCACAAAAGAAGACTGACAGAGTTAAGAAAAAAAGGAGCCAGTCTCTCCCGGTCAATGTGGCGTGATGCTGTGGTTTGATGCAATGACTCTGGCAGGGCTTCACGTGTGTTTTTGAGAGGAGATGGGAAAGAGCTGTTCTCGATGGGAGATGGGAGGACAGAAGGAAAATGGCTACTCAACCCATGGCTTTCCTTAATTAATGTGCAGAAGAACCTGGGTGTGTACGCACTCTAAGCAATACAGACAGTTTTTAATTTAGAGGGGCCAATTACTCCTAACTCCACCTCTCTAAGGATGAGCATCAAGCCTGTGCGTGCCCTCCCCATCTTTGTCCACCTCACACAGCTCATGTAGCTGCAATCACAGCCTCTGTTCTGGGCAAATACACAGGTAATACCCACAGATCTGCTAAGTCAGAAAAGCAGCTGACCTTGCCTCATCTCACACATTTCGCCTGAGGAATTTTCAGGCTGGAGTACCTCATTCGTGAGAGAGTAGTCCCTGCTGGTGACAGAGGGTGTTGCAGCCTGGGCTGTTCCTACACAATGTGAGGCAGAGGAGAGGTGTGAAACTGGGTAAGGTGCTGCGGATTTCAAATTGGTGGACCCCAGGTGGGAGGGAAATGCCTAAAGTCTAGGAAATAAAAAAGAGACCCTCTTACCTGCCTAGCACATTCTGGCTTTTATTAGCAGCATCTTTTAAATGGGGTTAATAATATCTGCTTCACAGGGCTTTTGTGAGGAGTAAGCTATGTGATTGCATTAAAAATGATACAAATGTAAGGGAAAACTATTAGTATCATTCATATCATTCACGAGCCTATATCGCTCAATAAACTCTAAACTCCTGGAAAACAACACCCTTACTTCCTGTCTTTGTATCTCCCCACTCCAAAACCCCACCCTGCTCCCCCAAGAACGCTCTACAATACAGGCAGACCCTGTTGGAGCTGAAATAAACACCAACCCATTTTTTCTGGGGTTTTCAGGGGCATTTCACCAAAAGTTTGGTAAAAACAAGGATTCTGGGAGTTATTTTTAACACTGAAAAAAGTGTAGCCTGAAATGATACTGTTATCAGCAGTAAAGCTTTACAAGCTAAATAAAATCAGGGTTTTATTTTTGTTTTTCCTATTAAATGGAATTATACAAAACACATATGCATCTCATAGAGAAATTTATGGTTGGTTTATTCAATGAATATTGTGTGAAGCCCTGTGGTAACTGCAGAGGACAAACATATTAAAAACAAGTCATAATTCTTGCCTTTAAGGAGCTCACAGCCCAGAGAACACAGATAAGTTTAACGTGCAAGTACAATGTTATACCACAAGGGCCGTAATAAGGACAATCACAATAAAGGAAATACATGCAGGACCCTTGACCTAGACTTGAGTGGGGCTGGGTGGTCCTGGGAGGCTTCCTGAAGGAAGTGAAACCTTAAAAAACTTCTGGGAGTTTTCCAGGCAAAGGCTTTTCACGAAGGAAGAAGGGGAGGCCAGGTGATATGTCCAGGCAGAGGGAGCAATAAATGCAAAAGGCCAAAGGTGAGAGGAAACATGTCACCGAGAAACTGTGGTTCCATAGGGTTCTCCCATGTAGAACTGGGGTACAGGAGTGGGTAGAAATAGGGTATGGAGAAGAATGGCATTTTACTCCAACTGTTACTTTGCAAATTTTCACATCTAGAAAACACTTGAGAAAATAGTGCAATGAATATCTATACACTCTTCACGTAGATTATGGGGGGAAGGAGACAAAAGGAGAGAGGAAGGGAGAGAGGGAGAAAGAATATGAATGAATTAATGATGAATGAATTCGGCAAAATGTTAACAATAGGTGATCCACTGGTGGTAGAGACTTTTAACACGCTTTAGATGCTCCCTCTCCCCCAAACTGTAAATGGAAATCTTTCTATATCTTTTCTCTATTTTTTTCCTCCTCTCCCTCCTTGGAGATTAATTGGTCATAAAGACATTCTGTTGATATGTGCACACTCTAGGAATATCTAGTCCAGATAAACCAATGTTTCTCAACCTGTTTTTCATGACCATACACCAAGAATCAATTTTTGTCCCCTTATGGATAATATCACTCCCATTGAGAATGCATGGGATAAACAGATCTAATGCAAAAGAAATATAAATCAGACTAAAATAAAATAGCCCTGGCTGGATTAAGTGCTGGCCTGCAAACCAAAGGGTTGCTGGTTCAATTCCTAGTTGGGGCACATGCCCGGGTTGTGGGCCAGGTGCCCAGTGGGGTGTATGCGAGAGGTGGCCACACATTGATGTTTCTCTCTTTACTTTCTTCCTCCCTTGCCCTCTCTCTCTAAAAATAAATAAATAAACATCTTTTTTAAAAAGATTAAAAAAATAAACACATTCCAATAGAATTTTAGGAATAATATTAACACATTATTCACTTATATAAATGTAAAGTAAGAGAAATTCTAAGATTTCTAATAAAAATGTTTTTACCTCCTAATGCTTTGTTTTGGTTCTTCTAAAAAATATTTTTATTGTAAGCCACTGGACGTGCAGGCACCATATTTGTATGCTCCAGAGAACGTGGTAAAGTGGTAAAGGACTAATGAGTCCATTATCCGCTGGTCCTAACAAAATGCACCTAACAACGTAAGTTTCTGTTGGGCGGGGAAGGAGACTGGCAATCCTAAGTAGTTTGGGGGCAACAGGAAGGGACCAAGCTCAGGCAGTGAAGTCCCAGAGAAGAGAACGCTCTTTGCAGAAGGCAGCAAAGCTCCGGGAGGCGCTGGATGAAAAGGCCGTGGTGAAGACTGCCTCGCTGGGCTAGCGCAGCGCTGTCTAGCAGGGATTCAGTGGGAGCAGTCTACGTCATTTTAATCCAGAAACCACATTTAAAAAGTAATTTTAGTAACAGGTTTTATTTAATAGATTTTTATTAAAAATTTATCACTTTTAGATAAACTGTAGTACATTCATATATTAGAATATCATTCACTACTAGAAAGAAATGAGCTATGAAGCCATGAGAAGACATGGAGGAAACTTAAATGCATATTAATAAGTGAAAGAAGTCGATCTGAAAAGGCCACATACTTTATGATTTCCATTATGTGACATTTTGGAAAGGCTCTGGACAGTAAAAGGATCAGGGGTTGCACAGGGTTTGGGGTGGGGAGAGATGATAGGCAAAGCACGAGGGACTTTTAGGGTAATGAAACTATTCTGCTTGATACACTTGTCAAACCTACAGAATGTACAACACCAAAAGCAAACGCTAATGTAAACAAACTATGGACTTTGGGGGATAATTAGATGCCAACATTACTTCATCGATTATAACAAATGTTAACTCCCTGATGCAGAATGTTGATGGCAGAGGAGGCTGTGCCTGGGTGGGAAGAGAGGATATGTTGCTTTAAGAACCCTACACTTTTCTGTTCAATTTCGCTGTGAATATGAAGCTACTAGGGAAAAATCTGTATTTTTAAAATATATAAATTTATAATATATCACTTCAGTACGCAATCAATATAAATCTTCGAAGCCAGCATATGTTTTACACTTACACCCTCGCTAACTCGGAATACCCACATTTCAAGGGCTCAAAAGCCACCCATGGCTGATGGCTCGTGGAAAGGACAGGGCAAGTCTACAGCAATGCGGTATCGAGCCACACTGCACACACGTTTGAGGAAGTGGTGCCGCTGCTGTGCAAGAGCGGCTTCCAAAGCAGCTTCTGAATCTCCTTTCCGGCCAGACCTCTCCTCCCTCCAAGCCCCGCCCACTGTCCAGCCCTCCCTGCGGTTTCACTCCAAAGATTTTCTTGATGGGATTCTGTCTAAAAGAGAGGCATGAACCACTGAAGAACACAAGGGACTTGTCACACCAGTTTCCTGAAAACACCGTGTATACTCCTCGTTAATAATAGGAGAAAAAGCTTTTAGATTCTGCACACTGTGCAAAAAAAGTGAAGAATTTATTAAAATGCAGTACAGATTAAAATGCTACCTAGAAAATAGGTACTTAGGAAAACATAGTTACTGTCAATATAGAAATAAATAATTAGGCTTTCCCTCAGTTGGTGGAGATTATTTATATTCCCTTGCAACTAGGAACATTATTTATTTATATTCCCTAGCAACAATCCTGGATCTAACGTATAGACTTCTCCATATGCCATAATATATTATAATCTAGTCATGCTCTAAATGCTATTACCAAGATGTGGGTGCACTTTAGCTCAGAAAAATTAGCTGTCTTTTGAATTAGAAAAGGCACTATGTTGAATCACAGTCTAACACTTATATTCATCATTTTCAGGTTCTATCACTTAGAGAAGTGAAGAAAAAAAGGCATTAATTTGCTTACTATGTCTAACAGCTCTTCCAAAAGAAGGAAAAGGAAAAGAATAGAAAGTGTAGCAAAAAAAAACCCACAAACAACCCACATGTACACACACACAAAACAGTCCCACAGAATCCTACAAACAGTATGACATACAGCAGAATACAGACATGTAAGTTTATTTACATTCACTGAGGTCATTATTAAATGCCTAACTCCCATCTGAATCCTCTTTGAAAATGAAGAAGGAAATTAAAAAATAAAATTGGGATTAGCTGTTATTGGCATTTCAAAAACTAAGTCTATATGAAAAGTAAAAATATTTTCTATCTTTACATCTAAGCCTTTTCAAGTGTCTTAAATAATCTTAATATAAGTTAATAAAATGGCATGATATCTCGGATTTTATTTAAAATATACCAACAAAAATGATAATACAAGTAAAAGAGAAATATATAAAACAGGGATGACAGAATTCTGTTAACAGGTGAAGTTTGAGTGATAGATATTTGGGGGTTCATTATACTTTTCTCTCCACACGTTTATAGCTGATATCCAAAGTTTTACAAATAAAAAGGTTAAAAAATTATTATTGGTAATAAGTTGTATCTAACAAAAAAATTTAACAGGTTGTTTCTGACTTGGACTCTGGTTTAGGAAATGTATTATTTACTTATACTCTTTAAATTTTCACATGTTTTTGTCAAACATTATTTTCTCAATTAAAAATATTTCTAAACATGTATGTATGTATACATAGACATACACACATATGTACTAGTGTGTTGGCAAGTGCAGAGTGCTTAACACTCCCTAAGATGCTGGTTACCGAATATAGTTCTGTGCCTTGTTAGTTGTAGGTCCTGAGGCAAGTTATTTCTGAGGCTTCTTAAGTAAGGATAGCGTTTAAATGAGCAAATACATTTGAAAACATCTAGCACGGTGCCTGGCACAATATGGCTATTCATTTAGTGTTGGGTAAAGTAACATGACGCATGGGGAGAACCAGATTTTTTATGTAGGTAGGCTCCCCCTAACATTTTTATTGGCCACCAGCAAGAGGAGAAACAGACATCCAGCCCGTGGTCTGTTCTTTCCAAGTGGGGGGGCCTCCCACACATGTGCAGATGCCCTAACAAACTTGACCAAGCTTCACCACCATCAACAACTGCCCTTTTGACCACCCCTGAGACCTAGGTGTGCATGTGCTTTTCCTGTCTGTACCTGAAGAGCCAGCAGCACAGCCCTGGGGAATGGGCTCCCTGCTTTTTGTCAGAGAATTTCAAGCATACCTGACTAGCTAGGACCCACTCTGGAATGTGTGTGTTTGTGGGGGCAGGGGGGATTGGGGGAAGGAGTGGGGAGGTGTACTATCAAATTCCATAGGCCCTGGGAAAAAATATGACTAGCAATGGGCCAGACTGGGACCTTTCAAAGCAAAGGGCACAGGTCAGGAGACTCAGGGGCCTGAAGAAAAGCAGTACTGATTAGAGACAAGGTGTTATGTTAAACCACTCAACAGAGTAGGAGTCAGAAGACATGGATTCTCGCCCCAATTTTGCCAGTAACTTCCTGTGTGACCTTAGGCCAATGTCTTAACTTAGCTGTGCCTCATTTCTCTGATACATCCATTTAACAAATACTTATCAGGATCCAGTTATGGGCCAGGCATGTATCTAGAAACTATGGATACACAGAGAATTCAATAGACTTACCATCCTGATAAAGAGCAAGCCATGAAGTTACCGGGGCAAACATACTCCAGACATATCAGAATGTTCATGATTAATCTTGCAAGTTGATGTGTTCATTAAATATAAAAGTGGAAGAATCCTAAGAGGAAAAACACTGTGCGTTAAATTATAGTGCAATATTTTATGATCCATTCTTTAACACAACATTATGAGTACTACAAATTGCTGTTAATTTTAATCACGAGAGTCATTACCATATGTAACACAAAATCTAGTCTCTAAATGTATCATTTTCTTTATATTATTACCCATTCAACAGGGTATATTTTATATGGAAGATAAATTGATATAAAAGATAATGTCATCACAAAGCATTTATCCAAATTAATTTTTTATTTTATTTTTTTTAATTATCTATTTTGTGTATTGTGGATAGTGCTGGCTTGTTTAGCTGGATTTTTAAATATATTTTTTAAATTTATTTTTAGAGAGAGGGGAAGGGAAGGAGAAAAAGTGGGAAAGCAACATCAATGTGTGGTTGCTTCTCATGTGTCCCCTACTGGGGACCAGGCCTGCAACCCAGGCATGTGCCCTGACTGGGAATCGAACCAGCGACCCTTTGGTTCATAGGCCTGTGCTCAATCCACTGAGCTACACCAGCCAGGGCTTACCAAATTAATTTTTTAAATAAACACATTAATATAGTTTACCAGTTGCTTCTTAAAACGTGTATTTCAAAAAGGTTAATGATGAGCTTTATTACTTGATAAACATAGAAAAAGGAATTCGCAGAAAGAGATGAATAGGGTGTCCGGCGAAGTATCAACAGCCTAACAATACCTTCATGCTAAACCAATTAAGGTTGGGCGCAGGTCCCTGACTGCATCAACTACAGAATGTCTGGGGTCACGGCAGAGTATCCAGTCGGACAACCAGGTGTCAAATGAGCAGAGACAAGGTGTTAGAAGACCTTGGGTAGGACAGTGAAGAATTTCTTCTGAAAGCATACGCAATAATGGAAAATTATGTCTCGTCTAGTTCCAGCCTGACCCAAAAGCAGCTACACAAGGAGAGGGCCAAACTCAGGTCATTCTAGCCATTTCACACTATACCTTCTCAAATTAGAAGAGTTGCCCATTTATCACAAAATATCAGTTACAAGGGACTTTTTATGCTTGTTAAATATCACAATTAGAATTATCTCAGGGCCCTGTGAATGTCTAGATAAAAATCAAACTACCATAATTCAATGTAAACAAGTTCTCCCTTCTCTGTCCCAGTTCAAAATTAACAGAAGTGTGTATTGTCCAAGCTTTACGTTACACCGGCTTTTTATTGCAGCTACTGCCACTAGATGGCACTAAAGACTCTGTGTTTTAGGAAGCAGACTCAAAATAAGAAGACAAAAATGATCTAAAATAAACAATAAATTCCCTGGTCATCTGTCCTGCTACTATGACCAGTTTCTTAGAGATTAATATGAATGTCAGTTTACTCACTCATTTATTAACCTATACTATGTTTCAGCCACTGTGCCAAATATTAGGGATGCAGAAATAAAACGTTCCTTGACCTTCTGAGTTCTCAGTGTGGAAAGGGGAGCGGGTACAGTGAGGACAGAGGGGAAAATCAGATAAGCAAGCATTAAATTTAAATGTAGAATGTTAAAGACTTAATAGAGGATATCACAGAGTACCATCAATACCATATAGAGGGGCACCAAATACACACTTGGTCGATGGAGCATTCCTAGAGAAGTTGATGTCTGAAAACAGCTTTGAAGAATGAGTAGAGATTACTTACGCAAAGAAGTTCAGGCAGGATGTCCTAAGCAGAACAAATGACTTGGATGATCATAAAAAAGGCTGAAGCTCAGAGTGCATGCTGGGATTGGGCGGGGAGTGTAAGAAATGAGGTTGGCTGGGACGACAGAGGGAGAGTCAAGGGAAGCCCTTCCTAGAAGATAATTTCCATGAGAGCAGGAAGTTTTGCTTGTTCTACAGAATGACAGATCCTGACACATAGTCAAAAGTCCCTGGCCTCATGGAATCTGCTATTCTAGTGCGGGACAAGCCATGAAGACATTAAAAAACAAACAAACATATTCCAGGTGTTTAAAGGATAGTTAATAAATAAATGAAGGTACTGAGTAGACACTGAAGATCAAAATCAAATTGGAATCTCAGAAAGGTATCTAACAGGATTAGAGAGAATGGATTGGAAATGATGACCCTAATTAGTAACCCAAACAAAGTAAAAGAACTTGAACTAAAGCAGGAATAGTGTGGAGGAAAGGGAAGTCAATTCAGATATAATGTGGTAGTAATGATAACAATGAAAAGAGACCCCATATAAAAAGTGGGCTGGTGTTTTATATACATTACTGCCAAATCCCATAACAATCAATGAAAGATAAAGGGTTTGTTTTATTTATTTTTTTTTAAAGAGTTAAGAACTCTGGGAAATAGCACCATTTAAGAGCCAGGTGGAAGAAGGAGAAAGGAGAGGTGAGAGAGGCAGGAGGTAGGGAGAACAAGAACAGTGTTATGTCAACCAAGGGAGGAGAATCTTGTCAATGTCCAAGCTATAGCAAATTCTGTTAGATAATATCATATTGACCATGTATAGTGTGCAATTTTTGCCCAAATTTTTTAGAGAAAATAGGGATGTGCATTACAGATGGGTAGCACCTGAAATACCTTGTATCCGTTCTCGTGTTTTGTGATTATTTGTCACATAAAATTTCTCATTCTATATGTTCAAAAATAAATGCTGAAATCCCTTTATAATACAAAAAAACAAGATCTAGATATAAATAAGTAAATAATTGAATTAAAAAATTAAAATCAAAGGTTTTTTTCCTGAAAGTTTGAGCCAAAAGCAGGTGTACATTATACGGGCAAAATATGGTAACTGAAAAGTATCCACTGGAGTTAGAAGAAAGAAGTTGTTGGGGACTTTGACAAAAGCAATTTCAGAGGAACGGTGAGAGCAAAAGCCAGACCGTACTGTGTTTTGGAGTAAAATGTGAGGGGAGTTAGAGAAGCAAGTGAAGACTGCTATTATGAAGCAGAGAGAAATCAGGAGGTAGAGAGGGGGGCAGGGTAGAAAGAAGGAGAGACTGAAGCATGGTTATGAGCTAAAAGAAAAGATCCACAAGAGGGGAAGAGGATGAAGACAGAGAAGGAGCATGCAGATGAAGCTGGGCTTCAGAGCACAGATCTTAGGAGAAAGGATTTTCCTACCTTCGAAACAATCAAGGAGGAAGGAGAGTGATGGAGTAACGGTCAAAGATAAATCTCACTTGGCTCTCTGGCTCACTTTCTATATATTCACTCGGTCTTTGATGGCGCTGATCAAGCAAAATGTCCAATCCCAATGTGCCTGACTTCCTGATGGGTCGTTCTGCCTTCCTGGCCTTCTTGCCTTTGGTACTCATTCTGTCTGGGGCTGCAGAGTGGGCTGAAATTCTTTAGACATTTTAATGAACCTGATCATCTTCAACAGTCCTGTTTTCTGATTCCACTTCTTCTGGAACTTGATTCCACTTTTTGCACTTCTTGTAACTATTCGAAGTGTGTTAAAATGCAATAAAAACCTGAACTTGTTCTGGGAAAGGAGAATCCTTAACTAATCCTCTCCCACGATCTCGCCCCATGTCATTCCTCCTCTGCATGAGCCACAAAACCCTCGGTTGCATGTAGTTCTGCTTGTTTTCCTTTATCTGAGACCATCATTTCCTGCCTCATCAATTAACAGTCTGTATTAGCGATCTACTGTGAAGGCACTAGGTTGGTAGCCAAGAGTATTTCTTATTAACAGAGAGATGAAAAATATTTGTGTATGGTATGTATATATATATATATGTATTGTTATACATGTATAGACACACATGTATACATATATACATATATATACACATAATAAATAAAAACACTTGCTATCACAGTGTAGCACAAATTTAAAAGTGAAAGGTATTGGCAAAGAGCTACTGGAGCTCAAATCTCAAGCCTCGGAGTAATAGGGAAAGTTTCAAACAGACTTGACACTGGACGAAGGGTAGGTTTAAGTAAAGATGAACAAATTCTGCAGACAAAATTGGCAAACACCAAGAAGGAAGCTTAGTAATGCTTAGGGAGTAACTAACAGGCCAGCTTTGTGGATCTATTTAAAAATCCAGATTTTATGCTCTGGAGATAAGGAGCTGCTGATACTTTTAGAATGGAGACTGACTTGTACCATGTTTTTACATGTGTTTTACAATTAATTTGGAAAAACTGTGTAGGATTGATTGAAAAAATGGAGGGGAAGGATAATTCAGAGACTATTGTAATATGTGAGGTGAGGATGATCAAGTTCTGTATCATCCTAAACTTCTACATGGTAAGGTGTTGGCAGTGAGGATGGAAAGAAATTGGTACCTGCCTGGATATGGAAAAAGAGAAAGGAGGCCAGGAACACTATAAGGTTTCAAGCTGGAGGGAAGGGAGAATGATGGTATCTTCAAGAGAATAAAACCCAGACAGCACAGTTTAATGAGCAAAGGTCAATGAAGTTTAAGACATGTGGGACTTAGGTGATGGAGACACACTTGGGTGCAGATTTATAATAAATGGTTGTGACCAAAGCTTAGGAGGAGCTTAGTACTGAAAGTGGGGGCCTGGGAGTCACCTGTGCTAAGAGAAAGTGTAGAGAGAAAAGGTAGGGGATAGAGTGGATGAAGGGGACCCACTGAGGAAGGAGAGTGTGAGAAGCAGCCCAAGAGGTAAGAATGCTAGAAAAGTAGAGTATTTCAGAAGTCAAGAAGGAAGCATTTAAGGATGAGAAAGTACCCAACGACGGTGAATACCAAAGAGACTGCATTCTGAGAAAAGGCCAGTGACCTTTTTCACTGTGACCTACAAGAGAGACATTCCAATAGGAAAGAGGAGTCAAAAGTTAGTTTACATGGGTGGTGATAATGACAATGGGAAGATGACGAGGAAAGCAGAGAGTACTCTGAGGTTACTCTGAGAAACTAGTGCTGGGAGTCATGAAGTTGAAAGGCCGCAGGGCCAAGGGGGGATTTGCACCTCCCTTTAAGACTCCACTGTAATTCTTGGCAGAAGGACATGTTAGCGAAGAACTGATTGAATCATGAGAATGTAAAGTATGACAAAAAATATAGTCAATAATATTGTAATAAATATGTATGGTGCCAGTTGGGCACTAGAAATATCAGGGGGAACACTTTGTAAAGCATATGATTGTCTAACCACTATGCTGTACACCTGAAACTACCAATACAAATTAATATTGAACGTAAACTGTAATTTAAATGGTGAAAAAATAATTGATTGAAAATGTAGAAGCACAAGGTCTTAAGGAGGCAGAAAAGGCTGGGATTAAAGGGCAAAGGTCTTCAATCTGACCTTGGAATAGAAGAAAGGCAGGTAGGAGAGGTATGAGAGACGATCAATCAGATTTTTAAGTGGAAAGTGAAGAAGTTTTCCAAATAGCTTTGCTTTTCTTACTCAGTTGAAAGCTAACACTCTCTCTCTCTCTCTTTCTCTCTCTCTCTCTCTCTCTCTCTCTCTCTCTCTGTCTCTCTCTCTCTCTCTCTCCATAAGCTGCTGAAATACTTAAAAGGCTGGGAAAGGAAGGGTAGAAGTGGCTGGGGTAGAATCTGGACCATGGCCTCATAAGACTGAGTTCAGGTCATCAGACATATTACCTCGGGCCGGCCACCAGACTGCTCTTAGAGTTGTTAAAAGATTAAACAAGATAATGCACATATAAATTACAAAGCACTTCTTAAACCAGAGAAGCTAGGAACACCTGCGTGGGAAATGGGATAGTGCATGAATAAGAGATGAGGAGAAGCATCACCGCCATCAGGGAGGGCTGCGGTGAAGTTTGGAGCAAGAATACACAGCAAACGCAAGTCTGCACAGTCTGTGTGACTTACTGCAGCGCACTGGCTGGGGCAAGCAGGCTCTGAGTCAGGGCAGGTGTGGAGAGGACGAGAAGCTGAAGAAATCCAGGTAAGGACTATATACAACATTGGCAGGCATGCTTATTTTTGGGAATCACATATACTTTTTATATACAGGGTGGAGGCAGACGTAAGTTTACAGTTGTGAACAGGAGAAAGTTCATTTTTATATTATTATTTATTATTGTATTATTTTCCATACAAACCGTAAACCTATTTTTGCCTCACCCTGTATAAGTGGCACTGGACTCATTGACGTGTTATCTGTATTTTTGGAAACAGCTAAACATTTCAATTTTTGTAAATAGGTTTTTTTTTTCATACTTTGGAGCTGACAAGTTTGGGTTTCATTCTTTCAGATTTCCGTATTTTTTAAAGCTTAGGCTAGGCACTGCACCTATAGTAGAAATGGAAAACGAAGACATCAATGAAACCAATCAAATACGGAAGGTCATGAACAAAGCAGGGAGAAAATGGAACCTACTAGGCAGGCTTAAGCGGCTGGAGATAACGAGAACCGTGCAGGGTCAGGCGCTAGTGCCACCATTTCCGGAATCTTGGGAGATACAGGTTCCAGATCCCAGGTGTGGGGCAAAGCGCCCACACCACCGAACCAGGGGACTACTCTAAGGACACCTGAAGGAGGAGGCAGAGAAATTACGGGCGCTCAATGAGTTCATCTCTCCAATTAGTCAGTGAGCCCACAAAGGGCTTATCCCTCCTTGACACCCTCCACTATCCCATTATGACCAGTCACGGGCCCTCGTTGATTGACCGCTAAAAACGGCGGGACAAACCTGCTCCGCTTCTATTATGCATTACTGTGGAATTCTGGGTGACAAACGCTTAAGTCCTTGGGTCATTTGCACCCCTGGCCCAGATGGGTGAACAGCGGCTTCTCCAGACCCAAGGCCCCCTTGCCGGCCCTAGGTTCAACGGGTCTCAGAACGAGGGCCTGAGGGGCCCTTAGTCCCGAAAAACGCCAGGGACTAGCCAGGCGCCCAGGCCCTCGTAGAAGGTAGCCTGCACCTGAGGAAACTCGCAGGGTCACACCCTCGCGGAGCGTGAACTTCTGTCTTCGCATCTGAGGCCTCCGGAACCAGGAAAACGCTTCATCCTACAACTCCCAGAATACCCTGCGATGACTGACAGCCCCACTCACCAATGGGAGAGCCCAGTCTGGGTTCGTGGGCCCAATCCGAGGGCACAAAGGAGGCCGTCCCCGAAGCTTGTGGGCTTGACTTTATTTGTGGTTCTCTGGCCTCTCTGGTCAACACAGTTATAAAGAAAAGGACAATTAATGTAAAGTGGTGACGCTGGCTGTACAGTGCTACTCAGTCCCCTCCTGGCTTTGTCCCTCCCCTGAGCCCCGAGCCACCCCCGCCACCCCGCTTCCGTGTCTCTTAGTTTGGTTCTCCCCTCCTGGCCTGGGTGGACCAGTGAAGATGTGGGATTTCCAAAGCTTATTGGATGCTGGTGGTGTCACTCTGGAAGGTGTCCGTGGCCCACAGCGGCGAAGGCCGCCCTTCTTCGACGGTGATTGGAGTCGCTTGAGAAGAGGGCTGGGATTGGTGCGAAGAGAGACCAGAGCCTTTCAGCACCTTGGGTCGACACCTGGGAAGGCGGTGGCCACCGAGGAGCCGGTGCGGCTCGCGGCATCCTCCTCCCGCTGCGTGCCCTCCCGGAAAAGCCGGGTCGGGGGGAAGGAGAGGGAGACGCCCTACCTCATCACGGGGGGCGAGGGGGGCGCTTGTCGCGTGTCGGACGTGGGTCCAGTGGGGAGGGGGTGGGCAGCAGTGGGAGGGGGGTAGCAGTGGAGGGCTGGAAGGGTGCAGGGGTCCAGGGAGGAGGCAGCAAGACTAACTCGAGACCTAGATCTGGAAGCGTTTCAGGGGCGGACTTGGTGGGGCGCAGGAGGGCGTGGGCGTGTCTGGTATGGGATGCGGTGGAAAGGAGGGGACCCTCCTGAGCAGATCTGTGAGTGGTTCCTTTGAGGAATCCTCTTCCCTTTTGCCCTTTCATTTGTTAAAGAGCGAGTCCCCATGGTCTCTGTTCAAGTTTTGGAAACTTTCTTTTCCGGTGGCCTTAATCACCTACTTCATTACAGAACTGTCCAGCGCCATTTCTGATACTGGGCATAAACGTGGGGAATATGTCAGAAAAGAGGAAGCCGCTGCTGGGCTTTGTGGGCAAACTCCCCAGTGGGACTGCCCTTGGGAACCTAGGCAAGACTCACTGCCCTTCGTGCATGGGGCTTTTCAAAACTCCCAGGCTCTTGCCTTGTTTGCACACAGTTTGCACCAAGTGTCTGGAGCAGCTGGAACCCTTCTCAGTAGTGGACATCAGAGGGGGAGACTCTGACACGAGCTCTGAGGGGTCAATATTCCAGGAACTCAAGCCACACGGCCTGCAGCCGCAGATCGGCATCCTCTGCCCAGTATGTGATGCTCAGGTGGACCTGCCCATGGGAGGAGTGAAGGCTTTAACCATAGATCACCTGGCCATGAATGATGTGATGCTGGAGAATCTGCGTGGGGAAGGCCAGGGCCTGGTGTGTGACCTGTGCAGCGACAGGGAAGTGGAGAAGAGGTGTCAGACCTGCAAAGCCAATCTCTGCCATTTCTGCTGCCAGGCGCATAGGTAAAGATGGGGTACTTCAACCTGGTGTGGCTTAAAAGCAGAGTGCAAAGGGGTGTTGGGACAGAGAACTCCCTCCTTGGTGAGCAGATGGAAAGCTTTCTCAAACGCCATAGAAGGTCAAAGAGCAATCTACAACGTGATAGCAAATACTCTAGAATGGTTGGTAACCCCTGCAGCCTTGTATATAGTAATAACAGTAAAAACAGTGTCAGAGGCTTGCATAGTCCTTTGCACTGAATGTTGCAAAGCACATTCAGTGTCCTTGAATCATCAGTCCTTTGTATATTGGCTAATTGTACCGGGTGCTGGAGGAACAGGAGAATGAATAGAATAACATAGTCCCTGCCTCAATCTCATCTGATCCTTGCACCTCTTATAGAAAAGTAGGCACTGTTTCCACTATTTATTGAGGAAACATGCTCAGCAATATGTGATTTGCCAAGGCCCCGCAGCAGGTAAGTAGTTTATAACAACTGAATTTTAAACCCAGATCTGCCTGCATTCTCTACTTTCTACGAATCCATGCTGCCTTCCCAGAGTAAGGTGCTGATTGGCAGGGCCCCACCTCAGCCTTTGCCTTGAACCCTAGAGACTCAAGCTTGGTGAGGTGGGCAGGTAGGTGCTCTCTGGGGTGCCAATTGTGTCTTTTATGGCATTTTGGTGAACAGTCTGTCATGTGAATCTTTGCCCCTTTTCAACCACCCCCCCCTCCCATTCCAGGACACCAGACTAAAATAGCCAAGGTTTCAGGATTAGCCACAATTAGAGTGTAAAGTCGGCCTTCTGTTGGTTCTCTGGCCTCACCCACAGAACAAGTTTGTAGTCTTCAGTCTTTCTATTTTTAACTAGTGATTGAAATGTGACTGCCCTGCTGCCAGCTAAACAGCTGACCCTGTTTTCTCGCCAGCCTCCCCTTGGGTGCCAGAACAGGCGCGGAAGCTTCAAGTGGATGGAACGGTCCCCATGGTTCCTAGGGATCCCCCCGAATCTCTAGAGAGCTACAGGAAAGGGGAATTAAAAGAGCTTTAATTCTGGCCATTGATTTCACTCTTTCTGATGTGATGTTAGAACCCTTGTTGAGGAAAATTCTAGCTTGATGCTTTGAGTGACATAGGCGCTGGCCAAAGGAAACGCTCTCCCCAAATCTAGATAAAAGCTGAGGGACACTTTCTGTCTGGGCCCGCCAGCTGTTTTTTAATTGCCTGGGGTTTTCTGCTATGCCATCTGGCCCAGTTAGTTTCTCAGTGCTGGCTTTCCACCTTGGTCTCACCTCTCCCTTGCTGGGTGGGGGTTAGTCTGCGGTTGTCGTACTCTCCCCACTGCACAGGTGAGGAGCAGGAATCAGGGAGGGTTATGCAGCGCATAAGAGGTTGGAGTGAGGAACTGAACTCAGGTTTGCGTGACTTCAGAGCCCACGCTTTCAGCACGGCTGGATCGTTTCCCAACCGGAATGGTTCCCTAATTTCCTCTTCCCTAGGCGGCAGAAGAAAACGACTTACCACACCATGGTGGACCTAGAAGACTTGAAAGGCTACAGCCGGATTGGGAAAGCCATTCTGTGTCCCGCTCACCCTGCGGAGGAACTGAGGCTGTTCTGTGAGCTGTGTGACCGGCCCGTGTGCCGAGACTGCGTGGTGGGTGAGCACCGGGAGCACCCCTGTGACTTCACCAGCAACGTTATCCACAAGCATGGGGACTCCGTGCGGGAGCTCCTCAAAGACACCCAGCCCCACGTGGAGGCCCTGGAGGACGCCCTGGCACAGATCAAAGAGACAAGCAGTGCCCTCCAGCAGCGAGTGGAGGCCGTGGCGGCCGATGTCCGAACATTCTCCGAGGGCTACGTCAAGGCCATCGAGGAGCATCGGGACAAGCTGTTGAAGCAGCTGGAAGACATACGGGTCCAGAAGGAGAACTCCCTACAGCTGCAGAAGGCACAGCTGGAGCAGCTGCTGGCAGACATGCGCACGGGAGTGGAGTTCACTGAGCACTTGCTGACCTGTGGCTCTGACTTGGAGATCCTCATCACCAAGGGGGTGGTGGTGGAGAGGCTCATGAAGCTGAACCAAGTTGAGTACAGTGCCCAGCCCAGAATAAACGATAAGATATGCTTCTCTCCTCAGGAGAAAGCAGGCCGGTGCCACGGCTATGAAGTTTATGGGGTCATCAACACCAAAGAGGTCGACCCCACCAAATGTGTCCTTCAAGGAGAAGGTAGGAAGGCACTGCCCACTGGCATTGAGAGGGTGGTGCCCGGGGACATGGTTTTTAAAGATGTGTGGCTTTTTTAGCCAGGCCTTCCTTCAGCTAGGCACAGCCCCTACTAAAGGACAATGGCCCCCTCCCTTGCCCTTCATGATTTGTCCCGGTCAGGGTGCAGTTAATATCCCTAGCAGGAGGCTTGATCTCTTTCCAGTTGAGAAATGTGGTGTCTGCCAAGGAACTCAAGGGCCATGCCATTTCTGTCAGAAGACAGAGCAGAGACGGTGCCCCTGGGAGGTAACAGCACAGACTTCAGGGCAGGGCAGAGACCTGAGCGCTCGGAGAGGAGTGTGCCAGGTCCTGGACTGCTTGGGCTGAGTTCTGGAGAGCGTTTCAGAGGAGCGAGAAAGAGATGATGGCTTCCTTTCTTCTGTGCCCTTTTTGGTTCACATAAGCCACACACCATCGGCAGTGAAAAGAATATGGTAGGCACTTCATTCAGCGGGGGCAACAGCATCATCTGACCACAGAGTTCTGTTCTAAAGGAAGCATGTTATTCAGTCATAGGTAGATCAGTCCCGACAGGAAGGCTGTGTGCTAGAGTCCTGCCGACTCTGACCCAGGAATTGGTAACTGTCTGGAGGTCACAGATCCCTTTGAGAATGATCATTCCCCAAGAAGCACTCCTTGGGCGTACGGTTCAGGAGATTCTTAGACCCTTCATGAGACTCTCCATGGACCTCACGGCAGTTCACAAGCCCCTGGGCAGGTGCTTAACCTTAAAGAAGCCCCATCTCACCTGACTGCTGGACAAGGGGCTGTGGGGATAGGAGAGTGGATGACGGAACTCACTGAACCAGGTCTGCCTCTTTTCTTGGGAGCGGCTTCAGTTCAAGCAAGAGATCTAATTAGTTTTTTAAGTATGATGTTGTGTCCCTATGATTGAATATCCCCTCAGCCTTGGCGTGAGCTACCACAGCATGGAGTTCAAGTCTATTCCAGCAGTGTCTACAGCTGAGGGAAGGTGGTTTTGGGGTTACTAGCCACCCTCACAGGGTCCAGAGATTTTCTTCTATAAATACTTAGGCCAATCCTGAGTATTTTCAAACCTTCTTTGGGGCTGAAGTTCAGGGCCAGGATCCTGTGATCCAAAAGCCGCTGCTGGCTGAGAACCAGACTCACCAGGAGAGACTCCTGGGAGGAATGATCTGGGAGACAGGATGGGAAGAGAGAAGGAAGGGAATGGGGTGAGCCCCATGAACAGGAAGCACCACCTTCTGCTCTAAAGTAAAAAGCGAGATGGTGTCTGATCTGGCGGGGTAGTCACTGCAGGCGGCCTGGAAGGTGAGGACTGCCTGTTTATCTCCCGCAGATCTCCACAGGGCCCGCGAGAAACAGACAACCTCTTTCACCCTGCTTTGTAAGGATGCAGAGGGAGAGAGCATGGGCCGGGGAGGGGACAGCATTCAAGTCGCAGTTGTTCCGAAAGATAAGAAGGACAGGTACGTACTACCCAGTCGTGTCGTGGGTAATAAGCAGTGATAGAACTGGAAGCCTGCGGTCCTTAGCAATGGTGGACTCGTTACTTCGGTCACTACTGCCTGTGTCCTTGTGGTGCCACTGAAAATGTGATACGACCGCTGGGCCAGGCGTTTTCTCGTTCAGTTTTTAGGCCTGTATTTAGTTATCCTCCTGAGGTCTGATCTGCCCCCCCGCAGCTCTCTCCATCCCGAGCCTTGAATAGACTGAAAGATATTCTATATCAGACTGAATGGTGCCCTTCTCAAAGTGCAGCCCCCCTGGCCCTGACTGGTGTGGCCCATTTGGTTGGGCGTCATCCTGCAAAGAGAAAGGTCGCCAGTTTGATTCCCAGTCAGGGCACATGGGTTGTGCGTTCAGTCCCTACGGGCCACGTAGGCAAGGCAACCCAATCGATGTTTCTCTCTCTCACATCGATGTCTGTCTCCCTCTTTTTCCCCTCCTTTCCTTTCTTTCTAAAAGTAAACTTTAAAAAGAAAATCTAGCTCCTAAATTGTATTAGGAGCTGAGTTATGTCGCTCTGGAGTTAGAGGAGGGAAGGGGGTGACGAAGTGCAGGAGGGCACAGCAGAAGCCAGTCGAAGAGAACATAAAGTTTTCAAGGAATTCATCCGTATACAGCATACTAAAGTAACATTTATGTCACTTCCCTTCTGTTGTGAAATTAATTTCTGAGACAAGTAGAAGTGGCAAACTGCTTGGGGGGCATTTAAAATTAAGATCGAATTTAATGGCGTAGCTTACGTCCTGAAATAGTGGGCAACTGAAGCAGGCTGTGGGAGTGAGTGGCTTTTTGGAACTGTTATCTCCATCCAGTCCAGTCCGAACGATGGTGCAAGACAACAAGGATGGGACGTACTGCGTTTCCTTTACCCCGAAGGAACCCGGCGTCTATACCGTGTTGGTCTGCGTCAAGGAGCAGCACGTGCCGGTGGGTGAGACCTGTGCGTGCGCTTCCCTGAGCTCGGTTCACCCTGGGCCCTGGGTTCTGTCGCCTTAGCACGTGGAGAGCCTTCCCATAGGATCAGCTGTATCGAGGGGCTGGATAGGAGGCTTTACTTCCCTTCCCATCAGAAATGGCCCAGACTTTGCGACTCATTCTTACTAGAGGATGCCGGAGACTCTGAAAACTCTAGTCCCGTTTCACCTCCTGGCAGTTATGCTTATATTTTACTCTTCTCCTAGTTGGCTTGTTGGAACTCTTAGTTTGGGAAAGATGCCTTAATCACAGGGGACGTTCTACCAGCAGACAAGAGTACGCAGTTGTGAAATATGATCTAGCTCAGGATGCTCAGCTTTGTTCAGGCAACAATGTGGACTCTGGATGTGGACTTCCTGGAATATCCTCTCCTCGCACTGGTCCTCTGTCTAACCATCCACTGTTCATGTGATTTTCTACTCTGTTTACATATATGCTTACCTGTTACCATGGTTACTCTACCACATCCACAGACAAGTGTTATACTTTCTGGTTAGAGATGGTGAATTTTTAAAAATTGGGGCCATACTCAACACATCTGGCAGAATCTCTCTGCTGATGTCCGAGTAGTCAGAGGTCCCCCAAGACAGAAATCAACACCGACAGCGACACTAAAATACCACGTGGGGCCACAACATGGTGCACCTGTGGTCTGCACACCAGGGGACCCGATATTCACTAGCCACTCCCTGCCTGCCACCTAGTGTGCCCGCGCGGTTCAGGTGTTTTTGCACATGTCACTTCATTTTTCTCCCAGACCATTCAGGCATAGAGGTCATCATCCAGTTAGATAGACTGAGAAACCAGACTTGCCAAAATGCACAGTACCTGCATAGCAAAATCAGAATATGACCCCATTTTTTTGAACGCCAAGTTGTTTTAAAAACAGATTGTAAACTCTTTAAAGGCAGAGAGATTTAACATCTGAAAGGCTTCTAAGGCAGCAGGCTCTCACCTTTCGCTCTCACGGGCATGGCACACAGGGACGGACTGCAGGAACTTACAGAATATCTGTTGCTCAATACAGGCTAGAAATTGGAGTGGAACTTATCGTTGAGGGAGAGGGGGCCGGTAGAAGAGTTTCCAATTCGAAAATTATTAACCACACTCTTAAACTTTCTCCCTTGCAAATCTCTTCACTGTCCCGGAACAAGTGGATGGGTAAACAGATACGTCCAGGATGGAAGGGTAGAAGGTTCAGAGGCAGCTCAGTGTGCGAGGGAAGAAGGTGTGTGGCTGAGAAACTGGAGAAAGGACCACAGGATGTCACAGTCTATGGCTGTGGCACCGTAGGCTCATTCCCGAGATTCCTTGGGAATGGAGAAGGTAGCCCTTGGCTGGGTCACTCGGTTGGAGCGTCATCATCTCGTACACCAAAGGTTGTTTTGACCCCCAGCCAGGGCACACACCTAGGTTGTGGGTTCAGTGCCTGGTTGGGGCATGTGCAGCAGGCAACTGATCCATGTCTCTCCCACCCCCTCTCTCTCTCTAAAGTCAATACACAGATCCTCCCGTGAGAGTGAGGATTAAAAAAAAAAAGAATGGAGAAGATCCAGACTGAAGTCAGTGACAAGCGCTGGGGTTACTAGGGCGTCAGGCGGTCTGGGTGCTGGGAGGGCAGCACAGACTCTGCTGCTGCCTTTGGACCGGGCCCCGTGCAGCAGGGCGCCCAGCTAGTTACTGTCCCCTAGTGTTTCCTTCCCGCCGTGCTTGTCCAAGGGCAGGCCTTGTGACCTGCACTCCGTTAGTATATGTGATGCTCAGCACCTTCCTGTTGACTCACACGTAAGGTGCTGTTCTTTGCTCTTGGTCTGAACACCGAAGGGCTCGCCATTCACCGTGACCGTGAGGAAAAGGCACCGCTCACACCCAGGCGTGTTTCACTGCTGCACATTCTGCTCCAGTGGAGGCCAGAAAACCGCTCGCTGTGCCTGTGGGGGCACCATGCCAGGTAAGGGGGGGCCAGTCGCTCTTGAAAGTCCTTCCCTGCTGGGATTGTCTCCAGCAGCGGGCGTCAGCTACTGCACAGACACTAGGTTTGGAATATGACTTAGGTTTGTTTGTAAGAATCTAGCCTGGCCCTGGCCAGGTGGCTCAGTTGGTTGGAGCATCCTGTACACCAGAGACTATGGGTTTGATCCCCGATCAGGGCACATGCCTAGGTTGCAGACATATGAGAGCACATACAAGAGGCAACTGATAGATGCTTCTCTCCTTCTCTCTCTCTCTAAAAGCAATAAACATATCCTTGTTTGAACATTAAAAAAAAGAATATAGACTGTGGATAAAAGTACAACTGTTCTAAAACTTCTGTTTAAAGCTTCTTTGTTCTGAACATTGCAACAGCAGGCTTACACGTTCTGAGCTCTTTTCGTTTTGATCCAGTTCACCAGCCCCATGAGCCCTGTGCTTCTCCCTGGATGCTCAGTTTCCTGTGTCCGCCCTTCCCAGCATCCTGGCATCATAAACAGTATTAACCCATCCTGTTCCTTTAAAAAGGTTAAGGAAGTTGCAAACAAGGCAGGGGTGGGGGAGTGGATGATTAAACCAAGTGCACCAGGTCTGGCTCTTCTCTTGGGGGAAGGTGGGTGAGCTGAGGCAAGAGATCTAGCTTTGGTTTTGTTTTTTATCCTATTGTGTCCTTACTCTAATGAGGCCTTAAGTGAAGCTTTTGACCCTTTGGTATAAACACTTCAGAATCTACCTTCCTTTTTATTTCCACTACTCCTTCTCTTTTGATTATTTCGGGGTTAAAATCCAGACCAGTTCATCTCCTTGAGTTAGCAGTGTTAAAGAGCCCTTGTCTCAGAACTTCAGCTGACCTTCATTGGTTTGCTGTCACCAGTCCTGGGAGTCCACCTGACCGTAGAGGCGTCTGACCGCTTGTTCCTCGCACCTGGTGTGTGTTAGATGTTTCCACATCCAGGAGTCTTGAATGTGGCCAGGAGCTTTAATTTCCGCAATAGCTGCCGACTTTCCTCTGAAGCTGTTTTCCCGTCTCCTCTTTGTACCTCGCAGGTGGGTACCTGGGCTGTGGCCATGGACACAAAGGCCACCCAGGCCGTCCGCACTGGTCATGCTGTGGGAAGTTCACCGAGAAGTCAGAATGCACGTGGGCAGGTGGGCAGAGCGCAGCACGGAGTCTGCTCAGGACCGTGGCACTCTGATGGCCACCGGCCTGCTGAAGCCGCACAGCTTCACGGGACCAGAGGACCCGGGCCTTGGTTAGTTCTGAAGAAACAGAAAGAATTAAAAACAAAGTGCCTTATCCGTCCTCTCGAGTCCCTCACTGACTGTATGTGTGACGGTGAGTACGAGACTACCACCACTGTCTCTCTCAGCAGTTCTCTCTGCACCAAAGGAAGCCGTCTTCGGTTTGTGCGGGAATGGAGGTCTGTGCCATTAAACTTGGAGTGCACAGGGATGCTTTGTGTCTTAACTTTTTGATAATTAACCTTTTTTGTTGCTCCCTGAGCTACATCTTATATAGGTATTTTTCTCAGAAATAAAAGCCTCCTTCTATCATATCCACTTTTCACTAGCACAGTTTTAATGGATTGTAGTGTGATCTTGCTGTTTAGATGGAATTACCCCTCTTCCCCCGCTGTGCCCAGTTCATCTCGTACCCCCAGAGCCCAGATTACTGCTTGGTAAGGACCACACGAGTAGTAGTAAGTAAATAAAAGCCCATGACACTGAAATAGAACCTCATATGTTTACTGCAGTTCTGCTCATGCCAGCGGATCTGGGACCCTCACCATCCTCACATCTGTCAGCACTGGGTTTTTTTAGAGTCGTCTTCGCTGTTGTCTGTATACCTAGGAACCCAGCTAGAAGCGGCGACTCCTAAGAGTGTGCCTCCTTAGCTCTTTGAGTTGAAAGAGAATTCTTGGCCCAGGAAGCACACAGCTGACCGCTGTCCCCTACAGAAGCACTTTCTTCTTTCGGTTTCTGTGGTACCATTCTTCTTACTTCTCCTGTCTCATGGACTTTTCCTTCTCAGTCTTCTGTGCTGGCTCCTCCTTTCGTCTCCAGTCTCTGTACACTGGAAAGCCCTAAGGATCAGTTCTCTTTATTTATTGATTTTAGAGAAAGAAACATCAATTTGTTGTTCCACTTATTCAAGCACTCACTGTTTGTTTGGTTTTTTGTTTTTTTTTACTTAAAATGTTTTAAATTTTATTTATTTATTTTTAGAGAGAGGGGAAGGGAAGGAAAGGGAGACAAATTCAATGTGTGGTTGCCTCTTGCACACCCCCTACTGGGGACCTGGCCTGAAACCCAGGCATGTGCCCTGACTGGGAATCCAGCCGGTGACCCTTTGTTTCACAGGCCAGCTGTCAGTCCACTGAGCCACACCAGCCAGGGCCACTGGTTGTTTCTTGTATGTGCCCTGACCAGGGATCAAACCTGCAACCTTGGCCTATTGGGACGATGCGCCACTGAACTTAGCTACCCAGCCAGGGCAGGATGAGTTCTTGTGTTTCTGTTTCTTCCCACTCCTTAGATGATCTCATTCTCCCATGACTTAAAATACCATTTATACACCAGTGATTCCCAAATTTACCTCCAGCTTCAAATTCCAAAGAATTATATATGATACCTTAATATCTCCACTGGGATATATCACAGGCACCTCATATTTAAAATGTCCAAAACAGAACTCCCAGTTTCTGGTTCTCACTTTCCACCTGCCTGAACAGCCCAACGGTTTCCCCTGCAGTCCTCTCTGTCCCTTTAGAAGCAAGTCCACACCCACTCTTACAGGCTGTGGAGTCAGCAGCCTTGACTCCCCTCTCATGCACCAGAGCCCGTCCATGGGTGACTCCGATCAGCCATCCCCTCACAGTACATGTGCTGAGCATTGCTCTCCACCTGCTGCCCTCCCGAGGTACCGGATTCCTCACCTGGAGTTTGCTGTCTCAACTTGTCTCTTTGCTTCTACCCTTAACCTCCTGCGATCTATTCTCTATAGTCAGAAAGGTCCCTTTAAAACACCTTCCAACGGCCTCCCATTGTACTCAAAACAAAGTCAGTCCTTACATCAGCACATAAGACCCTGCATGACCTGCTCTTCTTTACTGTCCCCCATCCCCACCCATCACTCTGTTCCAGCCAAACTGGCCTGCCTGGCGCTCTTCAAACTCCCTATGTATTATCACTTGCAGCCATACCGCCCCTCCATCTGGAATGGTCTCACAGATACCCACGTGATTCACTCATTTTCTTCAGGTGTCTGTTCTGTGAAGCACCCTACTGGAGAGGTCCCTAAGTGCCCTGTGTAGAGTAGCAACCCTCCCCCCACCAGGGCTCTATGTGCCCTTACTTGGCTTCATCAGGTTGACTCCTAGATGTCACCATCTAGCATATATATTATTGTCTGTCCTTTTACACGAGACTGTAAGCTCTATGAAGGCAGAAATGTGGCATTTATTAACTACTACATACATTGTCCTTGGTGCATAGTCAAGGCTTAATATCTTGCCAAGTGAATAAAGATCTAATTGGTAGAATTTTTAGTTCGGATCTCCTTGGTATCTTCCTACAAGCCGGGCTTCCCTTCCCCCAAACCCCAATATTTGCTATTTAACAAAATCCCACTTAGAAAAAATCTTGGCCTTCTCTCAAAGCTACTGGATAAATTACATGTACCTTAGGGACCAGCCATGAATTTTCTAATGACCTCAGACATCTAGGGAATTGCTTGCCATGAAGAAGCTTATTGTATTGACATCATTCTACCCCACTTTTTTTTTTAGTGAGTCACATTTCAGAAATAAGGATAAAAAGCTTATCATTTATTTCAGCTGGAAAAAGATTTCAGTAATTGGATAACTCTACTGTAGATAACACTCCTATAAGATGCCTTTAAGCACCATCAGTGGCAACAGTTCCCTTACAAATAAGTCTGTGCAGGTGTTGGGGTTGGTGGTTGGTTGTTCCTCGGCCTCTGCTGCGGTGGAATATAAACTCAGTTTGATTTAACCGCCCCACCAGCTGAAGAGCCAGGCCGAGAGTGGCCTGCAGAGCCCAAGAGGAAGAAAAGAAGTCCGAGGGTTTAGGGATAGTCCCCAGTGTAACAGAGGGTTTCAGAAATCACCTCTGAGTTGTGAGCGCTGAAGCATCAACACGGTGCAGTGTTATGATGTAAGTTCTACCTCTGGTGTTAACAGGGAAGAAAAAAGGGCCGCAATTACAGTCTCCGTCCTCTGGGATGTGGTAGCAGGATAAACAGGTCGGCTGTCTCGGATGAACAAACATACACACCTACCGCCAGCCCACACTCACTTCTCTAATCTCTAAAACGCAGTAGCTGCTCAGCTTTACTCCACAGGATGTGTTACCTGTGTGTTAGGTCTGTCTCAGGTAAGAGGTGGTTAGGTGAAGTGAATGCAAATTAAACGCAGAATACAGGAAGAGGCATTTCTCTTTCGGCCTTGTTACTTTGCCTCTTGATTCTAATTCCTTCATCACTTCCTCAGAGAAGTCTTCCCTGGCCAGCTGGAAGCCCTGCCCCCCAGTGACACAGATCTCCATGTGGCACGTCACCACTGCCCCTTCACAGTCACACAGGAGGGGCTAAGGAGCACGTGTCTGCCCCCCCTTGACTGCAAGCTGCGGGAGGACAGGGATTGGTTAGGGTTTTATATTCTCAATGCCCAGCAGTGCCTGGCACATTTACTGTATATTTTTTAATTAATGCATAAATAATTAAGTAGTAAAAGTGTTCTCCCCATCTTTTCTTTCATATGTAATCTCCCCCTACACTCCGATTCAGCTAAGGGTTCTGGGAAAAAATGACTCAAGCTAGCAAAGACATGACATAGTGTAGCAGCGAGTCTGTGGCCCCGTCCTTCCCGAGGGGTTGGGCTTTGTCCCCTCTGGAATCCTGTGGTACTTTGTACTATAACCAACCCAAACTTCATTTCTGTTTATTAGAACATTTAAATCTAGGTTGTACACCTAGGAACTCTAAATTCCTACTTTATGACTGCAGGTATACTTCTTAATTCTTTTCCTAGGGCTAGAGGCTACACAGCAAACAGCACAAGATCCCACTTTGTAAACCCAGTTCTCTCAAGGCATTATGGTAGAGAGCACGATTTCAGATGACCAGAGAGAACACACTGAGCGCTGGTGTCCCCGTGGTCCTCCCATCAGTGCAGGAGAACCTGGCTTCACCCATGAGCCTTGCTGAAAGCCACTTCAATGGGCAGCAGAGAGAGAAAACCACCCCGGGTTCCCCTGTAGCCATTCCAAATCCCGACTGCTGGAGAAGTGGGCCATGTCCCACAAAGATACCGCTCTGCCTACGGGTGTCCACAGTGACCACATGACAACAAGAATAGGGGTGGGGGTGCGGGTAAAGGGTCGAGGTTCTATCCAGCCACAGCGGGCACAGTGAATGCCTGTTTTTGATCAGCTCTGCTGAAGACAAGTCCAACTGTAAACCTCTGAAGGCAATTCTGTCACATCAGAAACACCCAGTAAACCGGGTGCCCAGCAGTGACGTGCTTTGGTGGCAGACATTCACCACCTGGCTCTCAGCCACACCCACGCTGCTCTTTGACTCGCCTGTTCCCAGGCCTGGTCCCACATCAGTAGCACTGTTAGTAAGGTACGTCACACTTCACAAAGCACTTGTGCCCCATTCCATCTTTGCCCACGTCTGGAGAAGCGGGCAGGCGGATGAACAGGAACACCTGCAGCTGGGTCACCAAGGGGCCGGCCGGCACTGGCAGGACTCACCGGGCGGCACTGCAGTTAGGCCACTGCACTGGGGGACCAGCCCGCTGCTAGAGGGTAGGGTGTGCAGACCCACCTGGTCATGCCAGGACCTTACGGAACTGACTCCCGGTGACCGAAACAAACATGAGTCTGAGGCAGTCACCAGATTGCCACTTACATTAATTAATCCGAGAAAATTTCACCCCGGGGCTAGGATTTGAGGATGCACGTTGGGTATATTTCATGCCATCGGGGCAGTGCTTCCAACTTTCGCTGCGTCCGCCTCAAGTCAGCAGCATCTCACTGTTGGAGGAACACTTCCCAAGCCACTGGGAAGTCAGGTGGCTTACCCACAGCTGGCTTCGCTAGCTCAGCATCAGAGCAAGGAACACTGGAGACTGTCCACGATACCAGAAGGAATCTCAGTGTGGGTTACACTTGTCCATGGACTCTGAATACCGTAGGCTGTCATTCCCCCATCCACCTCCAAACTGAAAGCAAGAAGACTTGAACTTCAAGGTTAACATCTCCCCTCTCTCCAGTGCTTGGAGCAGACACCTCCAGGTTCATCTAACGCACCTTCCACCTGACGACCCACCGTCTATCCAGTCAAACGGTCACAGCGTGTGTATTTGGTTACTGAATTCCCGGTGGAGCACAGGGAGATATGTGCTAATCCACACACCTTACAGGTGAAATAATGGAGATGCGCAGGGAATCTGGAACTGGCCTCGTATCAGACAATCAGCAAACGGCACAGGCGGAGTTTGTACACTCTCACCGGCCTGGGAGGCGCCGCTTCTCAGGTGACGCCTCTGCCCTGTGTGGTGACCTCACAGCATAACCCCTGGAGGGTGATCGCACGCCTTCCATTGCCTGACTTTATCAGGAACCTCACTGCCAGGTGCTGAAAGCAAAGCCCACCTTAAAAATGTGAAAACCTGCCCTGGCAGAGTGGCTCGGCTGGTCAGAGCAGAGTATCGTCCCACACACCAAACGGTTGAGGGTTCGGTCCCTGGTCAGGGCACAAACATAGGCTGCAGGTTTAATCCCCATTGGGGGGTGTCTGGGAGGCAACCAATCAGTGATCAATGTTTCTCTTTCACATCAATGTTTTTCTCTCTCTCACCAAAAGAAAAGAAAGAAAGAAAAAAAATGCAATAAATATATACTCGGGTAAGGATGGAAAGAAAAAAAAAACATGGAAACCAAAGTGTGGAAAAATTAAGGATTTTTTTCTGGGTTACAGCCCAGCTGAGGTGAACGTGGAACTGGAGTGAAGTCTAAGTTCTACACTGAACCCTTCCTGCCAGGCTACGCTGTCCCCGACCACGCAGGTCCTGAGACGTTGTCCTTGGAAGGCATCTATGCTTACAACAGGTTCCAGTGCCGCAGTCCGTTCCATGATGGGTTAACACAGGATTTCGTTCCCTACTCCTGACTCAAAGGACGGTGACAGCTGTATCTCGGAAGAACTACAATGCTTTCTACCACAAGTCAGCAGAGTAAGCGTTCTGGAAACAACTGCTAACGGGAAGAAGGAAATCTGAATAGTTTCCCAAATTATAGAAGTCTCGAGAGTTTGTATTAGGTACTAACTGCTACATTAACAACCCCAAAATCTCAATGACTAAAAAAAATATTATTTCTTGACCATGTCATAGTCCAATGTGGGTAAGCTGGGATGAGGAGGGAGGCATGTATGGGGAGGGTTTTGTTCCCTTCAGGAACCAAAAGGGTCCACAGCCCAAAAACAGGGTAAGAACCCTAATCCTGAGGCTTTGGATTCTCTAGGGCCTTGGAATCGTCCATCAGGTCCTTTTTGTCCAGTGGGTCCATGAGAGAAGAAAGGGCCTGAGGAATCATTTGCAAAGTTTTAGAGGAAAGATGAACGACTTACATCACTTCTGTCCTCATCCCCTCAGTGCGAACTCAGTAACACGACCCAGGTAACTGCAGTAAGACGGGGACATGTAATCTCTCTGGGCGCCCAGCAAGAAAAGGAAATGCGGTTTAGTGACAACAGCATTATCCGTTATGCTGCCACCACACACGTTAGATTATACCAATGACAGTACCAACGCTACATGATACAATAGTACAAAGACTAAATGACACAACAGTGCTAAATGAAGCATTAATACTAAATGTTACAAATGCTGCAAATGGAAAAATACAAATATTATAAAAATGATAGATATATTAACTTGATACGAGCAGTACCTCATATGATAGCAATACGGAATGATGTAACACTGAATGATAAGACACCAGGTACTAAATGACATGAGGATGCAAACACTAAACATCTCTTTATGCACAAAGCACCTCCTCAATCTTAACCCTGACGGGGAGGAGTGCCCGGAAGTGAGAACACCGCAGAGGGATGGCCAAAGGGGTCCTCTCTCTGCTCAGCCCATAAACAGATGGCTGCAGCTTCACTGGCAGAGGAGACAAAGAGACCGGATGGAGCCCGTGTCAGAAAAGGTAAGGGCCCTAGGTCCCCCATCAGCTGAGAGGAAAAAGGAAACAGAGAGAAACATCGATGTGAGAGAATGATCAGTTGCCTCCCCCCACACTCCAACCAGAGATTGAACCCACCACCTAGGTATGTGCCCTGACTGGGAATCGAACCTCCAACCTTTAGGTATATGGGATGATGTTCCAACCAACTGAGCCACCTGGCCAGGATGGCAACAGTTTTTTTTATTGAAGCGTATGCACAACTCTTCCAGAGTGTTTTCCACAATTATCTGATACTAAAACAATTTTTTGAACCGAAGTCATTTATTGGTGTGTATGCCACTCACTAAATCAAGTTGAATAACATGACCAATGGAGCAGCTGGTTAACATAACCAATCCTCAATTCTGGAAATAAGAACACAGCTTCCTGTGAGGAGGGCGTAAGGCCTGATGGTGAAACGGGACACCATGGAGAGCTCAGAGGACCACGTCCACTACCCACCGACAGTGGCACCGCTCTGAGCTCTGTAAACGAAAATTTAGATGCCAAAGAGGACTTTGAGGTCAGCTAAGGTGAGCGTGGTGATGGATTCTCCAGATCCCGATAGAACCTGTTTGGCCAAATTTTTCTTTGTTTCTTGGAGCTGCAAGATCTTTTCTTCTACTGTTCCCTCACACACAAATCTAAAACACAGAGAAGCAAACAATCAGGAACCCAAAGCATGTCTAATAGAACATGTTCAAACTTTGACTATGCTTAGTTTTTCAATGAAGCTTCTTCCTTCACTGAAGCCTTCTTAGGTTTGGTTAAGAACTCTATGTTTCGGAGACCCAAACCAATGCTGACTACTGAGTACATGTCCATTAAAGATGATGCGGCTCAAGTCAACTTTTTTCTTTCTCAAGTTAAGGTAATTGAGAAATGCCAAAATAAGCAAAAGATATCCCTATCCAAAAAAATGTACAGATCCAACTTTCACACAAAAAACTCCATCTTGATAAGATCAGAAGACCCTAAAGCTTATCAAGTTTCTGCTAGGTATGTGTGCTGGTTTAAAAACAGAGTATCTTCTTTCTGGGCTAATTCATACTGAAAACAAGTTTTCCAAATTGAGGAAATGCCCCTGCTGTCATTTGACCACTTGTCCATTGTTGCTTAAAAATTCACTATATATGCCATGTGCTGTCTATGCTAAGTATAGGTAAAGAGAGATTCATACAGTCTTGCTCTCAAAGAGAACACAAGAGAGAACAATAAACAATAAAAATAACGCCCAGAAAGTGCAATAACAGAAATAGGTCCAGTGTGCAGAAGGAGCAAGGGGAACTCTGTCCGGAGTACTGGGGAGGCTCCACTGAAGAGTTAACTGTTACCGTGCAAGCTGGAGGGCGAGCAGGTTTGCCGGGTGGAGGGGGCGGGGCACCCAATGGAACGGGATTGTATGCAGAACCATGGCTGAGCTGTAACGCTTGGTATGTGGGACGGAGACCAGGCCACCCAGTCTGGCCAGGGCAGAAGTCAAAAGGATTCCACCAGCTGCACTGTCACAGCAGAAGCTCGAGAGGCTGTCGGGCCAGATCCCAAGGGGCTTTGCATATCATGCTAAGAAATGCAGATGTGAAAGAAGGAAGGGGCAGTGAGGCCGGGAGGGAAGGAAGTAAAATTAATGGATTTGGTGGTGGAAAGTGAGAAAGAGGGAGGAATCTAGCTTCTGGAGCTATGATTGCACAGTGACAGCCTTCACACGAACAAGGAATTCAGAAGAGTAAATAGCTATGAGGTGGTGGGAGGAAACAATTTCATTTGAGACATGTTGAACCCCTGGTATAACAGCAGTTACTACACAGTGAGTTCTCAATGGGTATGAGCTTCCAGACTTGAATGAGATGTGCCCGTGAGTGAATGAATGGCGGGTGAGTGTGTGGGCAGTCCGATTCAGACACTGAGCAGAGATTGGGTGTCTGCGTCTGCAGTTCAGGGGGTCTTGGAACTAACGATACAGATTTTGGAGTTAATGGAGTAGACAGGATTCTTAAGGAAGGTGCACCAAAGCGAGAGGAGGGCTAAAGACAGGAAAAGAAACAATGGCTGGGTTTGGCAACTTTTCAGATTCATTGCTCCTCTTAACAAGAGCAGTTTCAGTGGAACAACATGGATGAAGTCAGTTGGTCAAGGCTGAGGAATGAATGGGAGGTAAGTAAATAAAGACGGTGATTTCTAATCCTTCAGGAAACACAGCCCAAAAAAGAAAGGAGAAAAAGAGGCCCACAGCAGAGAAAGGACTGAAACATTAATGCTAAAGGCAGGTTTTGTTGTTTTTAAAGAGAAGAGGGGCCCAAAGAGAGGAATCATTTACGAAACTACTGGCTTGTGCTCTTCAAAAATGTCAGTGTCATAAAACACAAAAAAAGACTGAGCTATGGTTCCAGATGAAAGGGGACAAAAGAGTCGTGAGTCATAACAGAAAGCTATGCAGGATCTCGGGTTTTCTTTGCTCAGAAGGCCATCATTGAGATAAGAGGCAGAACAGCCGAGGTAGTCGTACTGTATCATTGTTAGCATCCTGACTTTGATACTTTTACTGTGGTTACATAAGAAAATGTCCTTATTTTTAGGACATGCACACTAAACTATTAACAGGTAAATAAGCATCGTGCCTGTAATTTATTCTCAAATGGCCCAGAAAAAGGTTTATACACACATACAGAAATTTTTTGTATCATTTTATAATATTTCTTAGATTCTTTTTGTATGTCTGGAATTATGTCAAAATAAAAGTCATAAGAGAGAGAAAGGGAGAGGGTCCTTTCAGGGGCTGCCTAGATTGAGACGACAAGCTTGCTCTTCTGCAAAGGCCAACTCCAAGGTCATCCTAAACTGCCTGTGTTCCCTTCCTCACTGTGAGTACCAACGAGGATGTGCCTTTGGGGCAACATCAGTCAAGTGATCACCAAATACTTTACCTTCTATTAAAACATCCCCCGGGGAAGACTCACACAAAAGCAGAATTTGGGGAGGGTCCTAGGACCTGGGCGACCTTTACTTACTTGTGAATGACAACATCCTTCTTCTGCCCGACTCGGTAAATCCGGTCACAAGCTTGATCTTCAAGTGAGGGATTCCTGGTGGAGAAGAGGCAAAGCTCAAAGGCACTGACAGCCGAGGCCAGGGGCGGCCAACTCCATGGGCAAATCCAGCCCACAGCCTGTCTTTGGTATGACTCTAGCTAAAAATGGCTCTTATGTTTTTAAAATTATAACAGACTCCTACAGTGAAGAATATGCAACAGAGACCTATGCAGCCTACAAAGCTTAAAATATCTAGAGAAAAAGTTTCAGATCCCTGTCCTAGGCTACACTGGCCTCAGAAAGTTAAGTGGCAGATACCTTCCTGCCTTCTGAGGAGAAACTGGGGTCACTGCTAATAGTAACTCAGCACCGCCATCAGTTCACGAGTGTAAGTGACAGAGGTGAAAACAACGTTCGAATTGGGCCACTAACGAGCTGGGTGATCGGGGCCAATCACCCGGCCCCCTCTACATTTCAGATGCTACCTGGAAACATGAGAGAGAGCTGCCTAATGGTCTAAGTGCCTTTCTCAACTTTCATATTCTGTGCTTCAACTAGGGAGATAACGTGTTCCCTTCTTTATAGATTCTCATTGTCAACTCCAAACTAGTCTCTCTCCTTACCACTTTAAAATCTTAGATAACATTTCTCCATTTTGTAAAACAGCCTAATTCCCCGTGTGCCTTCCTCACTCCCTGGTGTAGGGAAGTCCCAAGTGAGACCTGAACACATCCTCCAGGACGATGGTAACAGGCTGGCCTGCTTGTGCCCATCAGGGGCTGCCTGGACAGTCAGCCGATGTGCGGTAATCCCTGACCAGCACAACTGGAAAACTAAAGGCTGGGGCTAATTATGACACTTTACCCTAACACCACTCATTTATCTGACTTCCAGGAAAGGTGCTGTTACCTGGAGGGCAGAGGGCGCCGTGTGGGCTGTAGTCCCATCAGTTAGAAAATCCCTCCCCCTTTTCCTTTAGAGTAGCTGCCCCCTCTTTTCCAGGACTGAGAGTTCCCTGGACGTCAAAAAATATGTCTGAAAAATGGGCTTTTGAAGAGGTAGGACTGAGGGATGTAGCTCTTAACTGTGAGGAAAAGCCCTGCTCTCAGTTTCCATGGAAACAGATGTCAGAATAACCATAAGGTGAACGGACTATTTTCAGCAACACTGGAAGCCTTGCAGCACAGGAACTCAGGGCTGTCCACTGGCCCAACAGCCTGCTCAGATCTGCATCTGCACAGAGTGTGCACAGAGTGTGCACAGAGGTGTCCTCCTCACACAGAAAGAGCATGGTCAACACAGGGAGGCCCCACTGCCACTCCAGCCGGCCACTTCCCTGCTCTGCAGGGACAACTTGGGAGAAGTCCCAAGGGCTTACCAGTGCATATCCAGAAGAAAAAGGTGGTTTCCTCCAGTCAGATTCAGACCGACACCTCCGGCCAAAAGAGAGATTAGCATAACCTTCCAAACAAAGGAAGCACACCGTTAACTTCATAGAATTTGGTCTCCCGATCCGCCTCTCCTGCTGTCTCAGGTTCAAGCCCCAAATCAATGTAGATAAGGACTGTGTTCCCACCAAATTTCCTTCTGCGGTTGTAAAGGCAATAATTTGAAACTGTGAGGTGCCTCCCCTTTGAAAAAATTCTTACTTCACAGTTTCTGGGTGAGTGAATCTCAAGACACTGTGTGCCTGCCAACTATACAAATACTACTCACTCCAGAGGACTGGGCGTGGGTAGCTCAGTAAACTTTCCTCTAACCAGATGCTGTCTACGCCGTCAGTCGAGGCCCCCCCGCCCCCGCTATGCTCCTCCTGCCTACCACTTACTAATGCTTTCCAAGTTTCTTAACATCCATCATCAGATGCCTTTGTGCTTCCACCCCCACCCCCGAGGTCCGCGCATTTCTAAACCCCACCTGTTCTTCAAGGTTTGCCTCCTCCACAGAGATGCTCTCAATCCAAACCAGGTCCTCTTTCACCCTTTTAGCCCTCATATTTTATTCTCTTTAGAGTATTTGCATACTTTGATATGCACCCCATAAATGTCTAATACATTAAAAAAAACCTGGAGGGATCAAAGCTATGTATGAATATATTTCAACTGAGCTGCTACATTAGAATTCTCTGTACAACTGAGAAGAATTTGCTCCTAATTATATAACTCCGATGTGACCAGCTCCTACCTGAGGGCCCCTGGAGTTGTTAAACGCCTCTACCAAGTCCATTCTCTGTTTGGGGCTGACAGAGCCGTCGATGGTGGCGTAAGTCAGTCTGTGCCTCTTCAGGTGCAATGCCACGACCTTCAGCATGCTGGTCCACTGAGACACAATGACACTGGGAGGAGGGAATAAACAAATCACCACCCTCCAAACAGATTAAACTCATCTGCAAGGCATTAATGCCCCTATAATTCTTAACATTCGGTTGTCAAATGTGGATGAGGAAAGGCCTTTGGTTGCCCAAGGGGGAAAGGCACATTTGAAGACTGTAATGGAGATAAATAAATTGTGGCATTTTAAAAAAGATGATAATGCTCCCAGTGGTTTCCAGATCCAGCCTGTGATGGGCCTGGTGCTAACTGTAACCAGGACCAAGTAGGGGCTGGACTACCCTCGGCACCGCAGCCTCCGGCTACCTGGGCGTCTGGTGTTCATGCAGAGGCGCCCTTGGTCCTGCAGAGGAGGGATGCAGGCCGCCACCCTTTGCTATCATATGAAAGAGTGACCAGGACTTCTCAACTCCTCTATCCAGCCCCTCCATGCTGTTTAATTAGAGTTTTAAGATTTTAGATTAAACTTTACATATGCAAACAGATGTGTAACATACATGTTAGTGGTCACAAACAACAAATGGACCTCCTGACACCCCTCCCCCTCCCCTTAAGAATTCCCCAGCTCAGCGGGGGCCCCTGTCTGCCCACACAGCTCTCCCACCTTTTGCTTCTGTTACTCCCTTGCTTTCTGTGGGTGCTTTTTAAAAAACACTTCTCCAGAGGCTTAGCTTACTCTGACCCCCTAGGGATTTCCTTTCCAGTCGGGGCCACAAACACTTTAATTAGGAATCATAGGGAAGTTGTGCTATGACCTCAGGGCTTTCTGTGGGGCGGGACTCAAGGTCCCTGGTAGAAAAAGCTAAGATTTATAACTATCAGCAACACCAGGTTTCTTCCTTAGGTATATCACAAGCAATACTTGGATAATAAAGTAACACATTTACCTCTTTTGGGACCCTGAATCTCTTCGGATCACCTCCAATTCTGCCAACAGGGATGAAATCTGGAAAAGGTTATATTAACATATGCAGGTTTAAGCACTTTTCTCCACGCTCCCTCACCTGATCACCGAAGCAGAATCCTGGATGGTAAAATCCTCTCTGCTTCTGGTCTGAACCCTCTGCCACCAGAGAGCTACTTCTGAAGGGTCTGTCGCTTTCCTCTGCTGGCTCAAGCCCCTGGAGTAGCTTCCCCTGAGGATAAGAGCCAAGCTCCTCCCAACGATCCTGGCAGCTCCGGCCGCTCTCTGCTTACGCCTCCAGCTTCGTCTCTCACTACGCCCTCCTCAAACGACACTGCAGTCACACCGAAAGTCCTCCTCCACTGAGCCATGCTTTGTCTCATCTTTGCGCATTCTGTTTCCCCTGCCTAGGACACCCTTACATGTCAACTCAATGTCACTTCCTGGGTGTCCTCCCCAGCCCCTGAGTGTGGGTTAGCTGCCCTCTGCCCACATGCCACCGCAGCATGGCATTTCCGTCATCACGGTCTTCTCACTGTGGATTAGATGCGTATTTAATCATCTGCTTTCACGACTTGGGATGCTCCAAGGTGGCAGAATCTGGTTCACTGCTGTGCACCTGGCACCTAGCACATTATTAGACCACACAAGGTACCACCCTAGCATTTGTAGAAGGAGAAGATGAAAGGTTTACCCTGCTGAAGGCCTGCTCCAAATGTTGAACAAGAGGACGTGTCCAGGCTGAGGGACCCTTGCTAAAGCTTCCAAACTACTCTCCGGAGATTAATGAAACCCCTCGGGGTCACAGGAGTCAGTCAGCAAGAACATGTGGGCATGACACTGGACAGCAGCTGAGTTCGCTCTCCCGACTGCTAGTGTGAGGGACCTTTCAAAAGCCTCGTAAGGGCCCTGGAGTTCACCCCCAGAACAGTGGAGGAGGAAGAAAATTGGACTAGGAATCCGAAGGTGAAGAAAGTTCTCTGCCGGCACATGACTGTATCACTTCAGAATTCCCATGAACAGTTCAGACTCCTCAGTGGGAAAACGGGGCTGAGCCAGATGAACTCAGAGGGGCCCTCAGACCTGACCGTGCGCACTGCTGCCACGGCGGTCACCTGCAGAGCCCCACGCGTGCCGCTGCTTCCCAGTCTGAACAAAAGGGCGGGTGGCCGGGCAGCAGGTGTGGCACGGGACTGTCCCAGTTTGAATCAGTAGGAAGAAAAAAAGCAGGCACGTGAAGTGTGTGATGTCTTGCCAACTCAGGGTTCTGGGGAATGCTGTGACTGCCACAAGAAAGAGATGGTGATGAGTATTTGGAGAAAACTGTCACAGGAAAGCGGATTCATGGCCTGTGTTACTGGGCCACACTCCAGTAACATTCTGCCTGAGCTCAGGTTTACGTCACCAGAGAAAGCTTCTTTCCCCTCATAAAACAACCTCAAGTGGTGTGAACTATTATTAATGGTTTCATGCTAAAAAGCCTTGTGAATAAACATCACCTGAGTATTAGACAAGGCACACGAATTATTAGGAATATAAGTTTTAACCCAACAGCTAACTTGGAAGGCATCAGGACAGAAAGTCCGGCCACATATGGTGCTCTTCTTATGTTTCTCTCTGCTGTTAGTGGTTAAGACTAGACAAATATTTTTAAAATTTAATAAAAAGTATTCTAAAGTAACACCATTCCCTTGGCAGTGACCTCCTTTCTAGTCCCTTCTTTAAACACAGCCTTTGGAGAGAGGTGGGGGCTGAGAAGGGCTCTGAGATGAAAGGCTGGACTCCCGTTGCAGCCCGAACCAGCCCCAGTGAAAGGGGAACAGAGGGACTAACGAGGGCAGCAGGCTGTGCAGGAAACACTCCTGTAGACAGAAGCCTTTCATCGTGCAAACAGTTGGCACCCAGATGCACTCGGCCAGCTCCAGGGTCCAGCCCCTGCCGTGCAACTTCAAAGCTTCCCGGAAACAGATCCCTGGCCGCTCTGCCCTGCGGCTAGCACACACCCGAGAGGCTCCTTTCCCAGTGACCCAGGACGGAAAATCTGCTCAAGCCAGGGCTGGCCCAGACCACCCCCTGAACGGCCACTATGTAAAAACAAAATTCGAATTTAAGAGTGAAGGGATAGCTGGACCAGCCACAGTCGAACAGTCCCGGCTCTGCCATCCAACGGCTGTTCCCGCTTGGACACACATGTCAGGAGCCCCGGTCCTTCCTGCAGGACAGAGGTGCCACAGTACCTTGGTGCTCTCTCTCGTATTTTCAAAAAGCTCCGCGCTGAAGCACTCGCCATTGAGGGAGACAGTGGAAGACAACTCTGAGCTCTGGACTTCGGACAAGGTCAAAGCACCAAGCTGCTCCTCCAGGGAAAGGAGCAGGCCTTCGCCCTTCAATTCTGTCGGGTCCAGGGCCTGCGCGGAGGACAGACAGGGGACGGGGACAGGAGGACACTTGAGGCAGCAAGCCGTCCAGTGAAGCGCTGACCGTGAACACTCCACACCGCGCAGTGCCTTCATATTTATCATCAGTATCTCCTCAGGGAAACTGATGAACATGCAATCTCGTAAGTTTGTTCAACAGATTACAGATAAATCAAATGATGGAACTTCTTAGGGACATGCCAGGCAGATTGCATGATCATTCTTTTCCCCCAGCTGGGACAGAACAGTAAATTAAGCTATTGATAATCAAGATACACTACAACTCCTCGAAAGAACAGAAAAATCCTCGATAATGGATGTGCCTCTCTCCAATGTAAAGGCAACTTTCCCAATTGTATAAATACTTGAGTTTTCATACATTGGACTTAAAAGCCCTAACACTGCCTGAGGGCAGAAAAAAAAGTAACTAAATTACCTTTATAACATCTTAAAATACCAAAGTATTCATAAATGGTTTTCTTTTTCACACAATGCCATTTTCCATTCTTTTTTTAAAAAAGCTTATTTAAAACAAAACAAACAATAGAAACTGTTCTCAACATGATGGGCACTATCAAGATCAATAAAGATGAATATAAAACAAAGTAAAATCAGTAGGCACCCGCTTTTCTGCCACCCCAAGAACCGCAGCCAAACACCCACCCAACCCCATTTCCCATGACCCAGCAGACGGGACCCCCCAAAACGGAGCCCCCAGCAGTGCCTCTGAGTACAAAGCTAAAGGCTGTCCTTACCGACTTCAGCAAAGACAGGTGACAGCAGCACTGGCGGAGTCTCAGCAGCTGGGACAGGATGTGGACAGTGCTGGCCTGCTGCAAGTCGGTGGCCACAGAGCGTCCAGCCGCACTGGGCCCAAACTCCTGCGCCACTTCAGGGAGAAAAACGAACCACAGGAAACAGTGAGGGTGTGAAGGAGAGAAACATGGGGACGAACTGAGAGCTAAATGATGCTCTTTTCAAATAGTTTGGTCTGAGGTTCAGTGACATACTCCTATTTCAAACAAACCAAATGAAATGCTGGTTCTTTAGAAGCCTACTTGTATTTAATTGAGCAGATTGTGAAAGTGACTTAAAGAGCAGCTTAGATCACCAGGACTGATGCTTACAGATCAGTACGTTATATATTAGTTTGAGGTTCCTAGCTGAGGTCAAGTCTCTGATACCAAGAATTCACAGCCTCCCGTTGTGGTAATTTTATGAATCGAATGCACCTTTTCATTAGTTACATGTGTTTATGAGTGTCCGCTGCTTACCTCTACTGAATGGGTTGTCAGGGCTTCGTCCAGATTGGCTGTCCCCACTTTTCTGTCTTTTTAGATAGGAATGCAGAGCTGACCTGCCTCAGATCAAAAAAGAAAATGCACATATAATGTTCGCCACAAACAGGTTTACAATGGCCACTGCTTCACTGTGCTTGCAGCAGGACTTTGAAAAATGATAAAAGTGAACTTGCTAAACCACTCAGGCTTGTAACGAGCATTGGCCAAAGGTTACAAAAAACAACTCTAAAAAACAAATCATTGAAAAATTACTAATAAATAATTGATATATTAATACAAAATGATATGTTTACTAATATGCAATGTACTGATGTGTTGATATTACTAGTATAACATAATATTACTTATATTGATGAATATTAGTAAATATAAGATATATAAAGAGAAAAGCCATATTTATGCTGGAAGTGAGAGGTAGTGGGAGAATAAATCTGGAATTCAGGGAAGACGAGTTTTAGAGAAAGTACAAAGACCAGATGATAAGAAGGATCATGGAGCAGTTTTTTTTAAAGTCCCAATGAGATGCTGAATAACAGGTCAAAGATCAAAGAAATGTAATTTTCCAATAGTCCAGAGAGGACCAGATGACTGGCATTTCTGTGCAAGGAAGCCATTGAAGGGCAGGTTCGAAAGCCTTCAACAGGTAAATGAGACAAAGGTGAGTGGGCGGGGGGAAAGGGGCAAGAAAGGAGAGTATAAAACCGGGAACGCGGGTATCCACCTGCCCGAAGATTCCCTAAACACCGTTCAGAAAAGCCGGACTCACTGCCAAGCAAGGACAGAAAAACAACAGTACATGTGAGGAGGCGCTTCCTCGTGGCACACACCTTGACCTTGTAAAAAGGACACTGTAAACAGTCTCTTCATCTTCAGAAAGCTTTAAATGGTGCAACTGGAATACGCGCTGGGGCAGCATCACCTTGGCAAAGTAAAGGAGGAAAAGAGCAGCTGGGATGAAGTCACACAAAGTAACTGAATATTACAGAGTAAGTCCCAGAGTTGTCACTGGAAATCTAGTCAAGCCTGGAGAGCAGCTTGCGCCCTTCCCTAAACACAGGACTGCTGTGACCCAGGCACAGGACAGCAACCCCAGGGCCTCCACACAGGAAAACGGGGGGCTAGAGGCTCCCGAGGCAGAGCAGATGGCTGTTCAACCCAGGACAAGGACAGGGTCGCCATCCGTGCCGCCTCCCCCACGGACACACAGACATGTGGTTACCAAGGGCTTGCCGGCTGAGTCCAGCTGGTCTTTTGTTCTCCGTAGCAAAAGGCTCCTGGTTAAAATGCTTAACCGTTCACCTCCTTTCTTTGAACCGTTGTCAACCTGGCTCTTCCACAGATTGAAATCATCAAATGGAGAACAACGGAGAAACCTTTTTTGTTGGGGAAGGAGGACAGAGAGTAGGAAAGGAGAAGTAGGGGAGGATGGAGTAAAAGGTTCAAAGAAAGATGTCAGATAAAAAACAAATCAGGTTTTCTGTTACGTCTGTCATCCCATCATTTTATAAAGTGAGTTTCATAGCAAAGCTCTGCTAACCAGATCAAAAGGACCCAGGTCAATAACGAAAACTGCAATATAAAAATGTGAATTTCCCCATTAACAATGTCTGTGTCATCACAACAGGACATACGACCAATAGCTAGAATTTATTCCTGAAGCTTCAAAGGCTAGCAAAGAAATTCCATATCCTCTTATGAGCTGACTTTAATAAAAGAAAGTATTTTTAAATCAGAATTCTTGTCTGTTTGCTTCAAATAAATTGTAGTCCTGACCCTTGGTCACATGCTTTAAAGAAGAAATAGCCAAAAAACATTTACTGAACTGAAGAAAAATGACTTCAATTTAATTGTTTCCTTTAATGTAATCTGTCCTATGTTTTTTCCATACATAGTGGCTGAATGTAATCAAAGTCCTATATCAGCCAATCAACGGATCATTTTCCCCATAAATATTAATTCTTTTGCCCTTTAAAGGTCGACAGGCTTGCCATCTGCTGCAGGAGATAGATGGGCACGCACCAGGGCTTTATCGGGAGACAGGAGAAAATTGAGAAGGGTCACTGACAGGCTACATAGGTGCTCGGCCCCAGAGGCTGCTCACTTCAGCAGGGAGTACATGTCCAACAGGTTGTTCTGAATGGGGGTCCCAGTGACGGCCCACCGGGCACGGGCCTGTAGCTTGCACACGGCTATGGAGGTCTGCACCCGGGGGTTCTTCACATTGTGTGCTTCATCCAGGACGATCCGCGCCCAGACGACTCGAAGCAAAGGTGTTGAGACGCCCTGGAAGAAAGACCCGTGAAACCAGCAACACTGTGGGAAAACGCACACGCCTCCGAGAAGATAAGGGGAGATAACAAACAAGCCCTGAGGACCCGCTCTCACCTTCAGGTTTGAGGGGCACTGAAAAAGCACCAAGGTTAAGAAACCAAGAGCGGAAACTCTCAGTGGGCACAAATAAGTCACTCGAGAGCCCCAATCCCTGAGCTTAAGATGCTTAACAATAAAATATTTTCTAATTTGAGTTCTCATTTATTCTTTCAACCCACTTTTGAGCAACGGCTATGGGTTGGGACTACGGCCTGCAAATTCACTCATTCAATAAACTATTTACAAAGTTCACAAAAAAATTCACTAAAAATGTACTGGAAGTCTATTTTTATATGTAAGATGCTAAGCCAGACAAAAGGACAGTTCCTACCCTCACAGTCCAGCAGGGGACAAGAGCAAGCGTCGAGATACCTGCAGCGCAGGTACACACAGGGAGTCCCGGTGCATAATTCAGCACAGACCGCAGGGACCCCTCCTGTTCACTGCTGTACCCCTAATTCCTGAAACAGCAGCTCAACATTCACTGAACGGATGGAGTGCTGTGACATAAGCAAGCACAGGAGATGCATTTAACCCAGCGAGGAGGCAAAGTGTTCCGTTTAGAGGGAGAACAAAGGCACAGCAGCTCGACAGTGCGTGGCGGGCAGAGCAGGGCACACCCTCACTCAGTACAGCAGAGCCAGAGGTGCCACAGGCAGGGCTGGGTGTAGGTGAAGAGGGACATGCAAGCAGGACAAAGTCATAAAAAGCCTAAAACATCACATAAAAATTTTATTCTGAAAGCAATGAGGAGCCACTGAGGGATCTGCAAAGTTAATCATCTGCAAAAAGTCAGAGTTGGTCACGTCTCCATTCCAGAGATCTCCCCAAATACATAAATCTGCGAATATTCTATTACAAAAACGTATGTTAAAGACAAGTTCCTGGAGCTACGCTATATTTTCAGGAGAACAAAAGAGCCCACAGTCAGCGTATGCAATCAAGTCTCTGCCCTGGACAACTGAGACTCTCCTGGGCGCACAGGCAAACACTGGGGATCTTCCCTTGGCTTTCATTTGTAGCCTTATTATTTCAGCCCCTTCTCCTCAGAGGTGGAGAGAGGCCTAATACCAAAATACTAGTATAAAAGACTAGTATTTTAATATAAATATAAAACATATCCTGAGAGTATACCCCATAGGCCCCAAAATAAAAATTGCAACAAGTGAGGCTTTCTTAAAATTATGTGATGACCATCACAATTGCAATGTAGTTATCATTAGTTATTAAAAAGAAAAAAAAAAAAAAGCAAGCCCTGGCTGGTGTGGCTCAGTGGATTAAGTGTCCACCTGCAAACTGAAAAGGTCACTGGTTCAATTCCCAGTCAGGGCACATGCCAGTTGGGGGCGTGCAAGAGGCAACCAATCGATGTATCTCTCACACACTGATGTTTCTCTCCCTCTTCCCCCACCAAAAGTAAATAAAATCTTTAAAAATAAAACAGCTAGATACTGTGCCAAACCTCACTCTTTATCAATGAGGAGGTCATCTAGAATAAAAGGGACAGGGAGCTCTTCGTTTCCACGGGTGGCCCGACTAGGACATTCCTGACCTCAGAGGCGGTGCCTCTGCTACCGCCAGTGCCGTGACAAGACCCAAGTTCAAGGAGGCAGCCCCAGCCTCACCTCCACACTGAGCCTTGTGCCCGGGACGTCTCCCTCTTGCTTCTTGGTGGGGATCTCCTTGGCCAGAAGGCTATAGGTGGTGATGACAATGTCGTATTTGGAGAGGCTGTGTAGATACAACACAAAGCAAATGGTAAACGGTCCCTCTGTGACTGACAGCAAGAGGCAGAGTTGATCTCTTTATATAAAAATGCCTGTGGCTGAAGGATAGATGGCAGAATTCATTCATTTATGCTTTCATTCACACCTGTAATTCTGGAGAGCAAACTTGACTCACATGGCTTCCTTATCTCTTACTGCTGATCATTTTTACAGTCTGTTGACTATAATTAGGACAGCCTCCCTCTTCCCTTCCAATGAGTCATAAAGGAAAACCAGCTGAGCTCGAATTAACCCCGATAATATCTGGCAGGTACAGGATGCAGGGAAAGGAACTGACATCTAGTAATGATTTGATGTAGATGATGCTTAAGTCCCAGAGATGCTTAAGTAAGAGACTCTCAAAGCAGTCTGCCTTTCATCATTAATGCTTTCTCCTCTCTGTTGTAATGGATTTGTAAAAACCCATGATCTAGCTTTGACATTTGGGTAGAATCATGCTGTAAACTTTTAGTTTACCTTGCCTACACTCTCTACATGTGAAGATTCTTAATAAAAGGAAGAAATCTTTTTCCACATAAGCTTAATACTGTGCAACTGAGAGAACTTCCAGCCACACTTTTGATAAAACGACACGACTGATTCAGCTGGGCAGCAATAAGTACATGTGGTCTTCGGATCATATAAAGTGTAACTGAGAATGAGTCCAACTGGCCAGCTGGTACACTCTCAATACCAAACCAGGTATAATCAAAGTGCAAACCCAGTGAGATGCAGTTCATTTCTAAATAAAAGTCTAGAGCAAAGGCAGGCCGTTTCTCCTGCAGAAGCGTGTGGGCTGCCCTGACGCCCTCAGTTTGCTGAAGGGTCTCTCGGTCACGAGAGTGGGTGTTGTCAGGGTCACCAATCAGGCAATTCACCCCTGAGAAGTTACTTCCCATTCGTCAGGAGATAAAATACCCACTATCAGAGGTGGGGGAGAGAAGCAGAAACAACTCTGTTCTTAACTAGCTCAGCAAGTATTCAACCCAGACCCTCATATCACAATCAGGAACAACAACACAATATTTCTTTAAATCCAAAAGGCAAAGACTAGGACTCCAATTAACAGCCGAGGAAACATTTTCTTTCCTCCTTCCTGATCATTCCTCCTCAAGCATTCATAAGGGCTAACCCTAAACTCTTGAAACTTAAGCTTCTTAGATGATTCATGTATGAAAAAGTCATAAAATTATAATCAACCTGCATCAACTGATCATTAGTATTCTATCGAGGTGCCCTGTAAGACCGGGCTACTTTCGGTCACACTAACAGGAATGTCTGTGTGGAGTCTGAAGTTCACAATCATCAGATAACTGGGACATGGCCTGGTCTACCAGGGAATGCTGTGCTACCTGGTGGACACCTCAGGCGTCTCAGGCCTGCGCGGGTGGCGGCTTTTTGTTGTGGGCAGCGACAAGCATGTAGCAAAAGAGCTCCATTTTCTCTCAAGGGGCGTCTCTTGATACAAGTGAAGGTCATTTGGTGATGAGAGTGCCAATTAAAGGAAACCTCTGGGAAAGCAGGTGCCGTTATATGGTCTCTTAAGCCAAGGTGCTGAGCACCTCCTAGTGACTGCGTTGTTTCTGCACTTACACTTTGGCACGTTGATTCCGATTTGGCCCGTGATACAGATAGACGCTTAGTTTGTTGTTGCTCACACGTTTCTCCACCTCCTTTTCCCAGTGATGGATCAGGGAAGCAGGACAGATGATAAGTGTTCCACGGGAAACAAACTCAGTGGAATCTTGAGAGGGGGGAAAAAATCAACACCTAGTTACACCCTTGAAATAGCATTTAACTTCTTAGAGGCACTCTCTTCCACTCAACTGACTATTCCTTCAATCAATATTTTAACAACCGCTGCTCTTATTTCTACGCATAGCTTGTAGTAGAAGGAAATAGAATATATGGCCTTTTAACTCCCAACACTTAATCACTTCATATTTACCCCTATAAAGTTGTCAGACAGGAAGAGTCTAAACAGAGAGATGAAAGTGGGCAATTCACGACCTCGGTTCGAGAAGAACAACAGTGCACTTTCAGTGGCTAGAAGGTAGAGGTTAGATCATAGCCTAACTCGTCCTGGGCTCTATGGGAGAGTATTATTTTTTTCTGAAAAGCATAACTAATTACATCTACACAACAGCCCTGGCTGGTGTGGCTCAGTGGATTGATCGCCACACTGTGAACCAAAAGGTCATGTTTGACTCCCAGTCAGGACACACCCCCCTCTCTAAAAATAAATAAATAAAATCTTTAAAAAATAGATTTATAAAAATAAAATATAAGTACAAAACCCTCTCAGATGAGCAAACGTTAGTTCGGAGCCAGTGAAATGTTTGTACCACTGCCCCTCGCCCCTGCGTGTGTGCACATGTGCACGGGTGTGTGTGCGTGCACACGCATGCTGCCACCCCACACAGGAACACTGGACCCAGCGGCAACAGCGGTCATCGGAGGCCCTGGGAGCTGGCAGCCGCAGATTTTTAACTATCTAACCAACCGAGAAATGTCCTTGTGTGCACGGCAGCCTGCATGTGGTGGTGTCTCTAAATAACACACAGGACTTTTAAAGTACTTATATGGTAATGTAATCCTTATATTTTAAAAAGAGGTTGAAATAAAAGAGCAATTGCCTAGCATCTGGAAACTTCTGAAATTTCAGAAACATGGAAAACAACTTCTGCTCTTGTGGCTGAAGTCTGAATTTGTGACAGATCCTCCTTAAAAAATAATACATAAACTAATTTGGATCTATCCTGTAGTTATTTCCTCAACATTAATAAAAACAATCATTATATTTAGACTACATTTTCTAGAGCCTTAGCTTTCTCCGTAACATTTTTCCACTGACAGGTCATGCTAAGTTGATATTAAAAAAGAAAAAGGATCACTTAAAAAGCATACTTGGCATGAGAAATGATACCACAGGAAAGTAGTCTAACACTACTTCCAACAGATTGATTCAACATGGCCAAAGCTGTGCTTTTGTAGCTTAAGAGTTCCTACTCTCCGCTGGCTCAAACAATGAAGGAGACAGCGGGCGAAGAAGGGACCTGAATACCATCTTTGGAAGGCCAAGTCAAGGCCACGTTTTTGTCCTTTTCTTTGTTTTCCTCTCGGCTCTTCTGGGTCAGGATGAGCGCAATCATTGTCAGGGTCTTTCCTAATCCCATGTCATCCGCTGGAAAAGAAAAATAACACCAGGAGAGGTGACTACGTAGGGCAAAGAATCAACTCAGCTCCAAGAAAAGGAACGTCCTGGTACCTATCTTGCTGGTGCTTCCACATTTCTGGAGTTGCGGTTAACTCAAAACAGTCCTCCATTCCCTTAATTTATTCATCAGAGAGAGACCGAAATGAACAATCCTTTAGAACTATCAGTGTGCCAGTCACTGAACTCCTCTAATATACTGTTAATACCCTGTGAAGTATTAGCCCCACTTCAACAGTTTGAATAATCACTCAAGTATAGTGCCTCAGTGGGAATTCTGGTCAGACGCTGGCTCTGCGGCTGTGCAGCAAAAGAGGCACATGGCCATCCACCGAAATCCCTGCTTCCAAGGTGGGCCCGTGACTGGCGTCTGGGAACTCGAACTGACAAGAGTGGCCGACTGTGCTTAGCCTGTTTGTACAAACAACATGCTTTATGCTGAACACCGGCTTTCCTTCTGCGAGTATGGAATCTACGTACATCCCAGGCTGAAGCTGCCTATGCAACAAGCCCTCAGTAAATACCTTGGGCACCGAATCTACAACAAGCCTCCCCGGTTGGCAACATTTAACCTGTGCTGTCACTTCTCACGGCTGGGAATTAACTACGTCCTGTGTGTCTCCCCTGGAAAAGGCCTCTGGAAGCCCGTGCCTGCACTTTCCCCTTTGCTGATTTTGATTTGTATCAAATCAGAACTACTGTTTTATTATTTTTATTTTGTAATACTTTATAGCCATGAGTATGACTACATGCTGTGCAGCCATAGTGGGCATTTGTCATGGTTTCCAGAAATTGAGCAACTTGGAAAACCTTAGTCTGATGAGACCCAGATGCGGAGCCTGAAACACATGCTTCCCAGGCTCCCTGCAGCTAAGGCACCGGCAACACGACCTGGCTCCACAGACCACATGCTCGCGTGAACTTCGATTTGGGTGTAAGCAACTTGAGAAGAGTCTCCCTGAGAAACCTTTTCTGCAGGAAGGGATGGACACAGAAGTGTCTGATTTTGGGGTGGCAGTGCCTGATGGAGCAAAGTATCCATGACGGTTTCCCCAAGACACTGGCTATTGCTTGGCTCTGGCCATTGCTCCTAGAAGTCTAGTCTCCAACCTGCCACTCTGCACCTCCCAGAGATTCTGTGGGCCATGCAGAATGAACTCCGGCTCTACTTAGTGGGCCAGAGTGGGCTTCCACAGCCTGCAGCCAAGACCTGACCAATCCTAAGGATCCTGAGCATGTTCCTTAAGCCTTCTTAATTTCAGCTTCCTCATCTGTAGAAGAGGGCAACAACCCCACAGAGTTGTTGAGAGGATCAGATGAAACAATACAAGAATGTATGTGTTGGCTCCTTCCATAATCCCAGACTTACCCAGAATTCCTCCATGTGGCTTCTGACTTTCTCGCCATAGTAACCAGGCTAACGCCTGCTTCTGGTGCAGCAGCAAAGGGACCTGAAAAAGGGAATGTCCGAAAGTTAAGTATAAATGCCTCATGAGAAGTTATCCTGTATCCGCCTACTTGGATGCCACATTCTACTCTTTTCTTTTCTATAAGTAATCCTCCTAATATTCTAGCTGTCTAGAAAGCAGCTGTTTTCATCATGAAGTCCTTGACCCCACCGTCACCTGTGGTATCCATCTGGCCTGTTCTGCCCAAAACAGTGTGATTGATGCCGGTTGTCCAGCATGTCTATCGAGAGCCCCCTCTCTCGCCCTCAAGTGAGAGTCCTGGTTTGTCTGTTTAATCAGCCAAAGTCAGCTTCTGCTGCTGCAGCCTACACCTCTGACTGCTCAGCCTGCTTTCACCAGCCATTCTGTCGTTTTCGTCTTACAATCTCTTCAATTGCACTCTCCTCCCTGTAGCCAACTTCCCAGCCTGCCATAGGCTGGGCCATAATTTTCAACATCCCTTTAAATGGCCCCCCTCTCTCTAGTCTTTTCTTACTCCTATTTATCTTGTACTCCATGATAAAAATAATCCTCATAAAACGCACCTGCTCCAGTTTCTACAGTGATTCCCTATCTCTTGAGCTGGTGTGAGGTGAGTTCCCTCTCCAACGCCAGGCTCCGCAGCCAGAGAGCCTTCCTTGTTCAGTAACTCTGCCGCTCCCTGCTCGGGTCCCGATGGCACCCTGTCACCACTTACTCACACCCATCTGTCTATTTCCTCGAACCGCCACTTCCTCTAACGGGGGAGTCCTCCCAGCTACCCTCAGGCCCTTCAAGGCAGAAGGTAGGCAGGCAACCAGACATTACTGACCTAGAGTGACTTCCCTTTATTTGGAATGCCTTTTGTACTTGGTATGCAGCCTACAGTACCTCACAATGCACATTTCTCTCTGTCTTCAAGTCACTTTCTAATTGTTTCATGTGTTTTGTATCTGCACTTTCACCCCCACTAGTTCTTTAAGAGCAGCGATTCCTTTGTATCCTTTTGGCTCCTACCGAAGGCCATTAGTAGACCCGTCGCTGCTACAGACAATGGAGAGCTGACCCTTGAACAATGAGGAGGTTGGGAGCCCCGATGCCCATGTAGTCAAAACCCACATGTAACTTATAACCAGCCCTCTGCATAGGAATTCCCAACCACACATCGAAAACACAGCTGACCCTTAACCACTGCAGATCTGAACTATGTGGGTGCCTTTAAATGCACATTTTAAGTGTAAGTGGATCCTGCTATAAGTGGTAAGCAGCTCAAACCACACTGTTCAAGGGCAACTGTATAACTTGATGACTGTAAGAAAAAATGCTTTTCATTTTTCACTGTTAAACAGAAAATAGTGCCAGGGAAGCCACTAAAGCATTATCTCCAGGAAACACATCACAATGGCACTGTGCTGAGCCGTCTCGCAGCGGCCACCCTCTTCGTGGGCACTGTCACAGGACACGCTCTGGCTCACCTTCAACCCAGCTGGGTCCTCTGCCACGGCCGTCTCCCCGGGACACGACTCGAGCGATCGATGCAGCTCATCGATGGCTTCACCTGTGACTTTCCACACCGAGTGAAGGCGATCTTGGTTCACGGGACCTGCGGACAGACAGGTGTGACCTAAGGTGCACGAGTGCCACGTCCTGGCGACAGCTGCAAACGGGCAGGTCCTTATTTGCCAAACAATGGAGCTGAATGGACTAAATATTCGTTTTTTAAATTTACTTTTAATTAGAGCTGACACACATTAGGGTTAACCATTCTTGCCTCCAGATTCTCCTAGCCCACAGGCTCCTCTATTCCCATTTTCTGTTTCTTTTCTTCAAATCACGTAATAAGGGATAAAATAATAGAAAGTAAAATGAAAAAATAAGATAACCTATCATATTTTTAGTAGGGTTTTTTTTCCAGCTTTGAAGATGTAGCAGAGGAAAAGGAATGACATCAGTGTTTTAGAAAGAAAAGGTCCCTTGGGCTGGGCACAAAGAGGAGTCGGTGACAGAAAAGGCCGGGCAGGGTGGGGTTTAGGCAGACAGAGACCACCCTGGAGGGCACGGTGCAAGCTGGCTGCCCTTCACCGGGACACGCTTCACGCTGGTAGCCCACTCAGGCTCGAGAACTTCTAGTGAAGCTACTTAACAAATGCCAGCACCTCAGCTGGTTGTTCAATTTTAGGAATGAAGTATTCAAATAAGAGGATTCTACACCAATAAACGTGAAACCCTTTAAATGTTAAAATGTTTTCAAAAGGAAAGCTATTTTAATGAAAGTTCTCCCAAAACAGATTACGTACTTTCTGACCTTAATAATCTAACATAATTTAATTGTCCTCGAGGTGACTCGGTCACGTTGTGAGGACAGACGATGCCGTAACAGAGTGACACTCTCAGACCAGTCCTGCGCAGCTGCGACCACTGTGCTACTCTAACAAGTACACTGTCTCTGTCCCCTTTAGAATGACCTTGGCTTCACCTGACACGGAGTGTATCCCGCCTCGTGAACTACTGCTCAACTTTCCCCGCCCCCGTCTTCCTTTTCTCCCTGTTCACGTTCTTCTCTCCGGTTCCCTTTCTCCACCTCTAGCTGCTCTCATTCGGGAGAAAACTAGCTTCTGCTTTGCTGGTCACTGCCCGCCGACCTGAACTCCCATCTCAGGATGAGCACTCCAACCCATCCTGTTACATACCTGGCGTTCTACTTGGGATTTTCATTCTGCAGTTACTGCTGAATTCATTGTTTTCTGCAAAGCTCAGGATGGGAACACGCAGCTATATAGGGTATCACTGTTCTTGGCGGGTCTACTGGCTATCAATCTTCCATCAGGTCATTCCTCTGCTCTGCCTTAACATACGCACATACGGAAGACAGGCATATCTGCTGACCTACCTATTTCAACGTGACGTGAGTTCAAGTTTTCATTCACATTTACTAGATGACTCCTATGTGCCGGCCACTGGGCTGAGTGATCAAGTGATCAAGGTTGGTGAACAAGGCAGACACAGTGCCTGCCCTCAAAGAGATCTAAGTAACACTGTGCAAAGCTCAGCTGAGCATCACAATCTCTCTCACAACTCAGGAGTGGCTTTCACCTTCATGTGTGCACAAAGATGTCCGCTAGTCAGAATCTGACCCTAGAGGTACAGCTGTTCCCACCAGGGCCAGGCCCCTGGGTCTTACCTCCACAGCCCTTACTGGACTGCCCAGCGGCTGCCTGCCAGGCAGCCGTCAGTCCTAGGGAACCCAGAGGCTGCAGATCCTGACCCTGCAGGGGTTTGGCTGGCACCAAGTGGGGCGGGTCAGAGGTCGTTTTGGTGAAGTTACTCTGCGGTGGTACTTGAGTGTTACTCTTCTCATCAGTGCCTGTTCGAAAAACATGGGAAGAACTGATTCAAGTTCAGAAAAGTAGAGGTATAAGGTGAGGACAAGAGAGAGTGGGATGACCACCCTTCCGATGAGCTGGGGAAGGCTTCCTACAGAGTGTGGCGTTTAAACAGGTGCATAAAACGACAGGAAGGGCAGTTGGGACCACGGGAAATAGGAGAAAGCTTTGATAAATTGCAGGTGTAATTTAAAAGGACACTCGGAAGCAGAGACGAAAATGGGAAGGTGAATGGACTGACATTCTTTACCACGATGGCTCCCTGAAAGTCCCCTGTGAAGCTCTGGGGCACAGCCCAGTTTACCTTGCTCCGGGGAGAGGGTGAGCGCGCTGAGTGCGGCCTCCAGCTCCTGGATCTGAATGAGCAGCTTCTGACCTTTGTCTGGAAGAACCTGGATGTTCGCCGATGCCAGTGTGCTCTGAAAACCAGGTCCAATAAGGATCGCTCCGCTCAAGTTGTTAGAAGTACAACGAACACTTCAGATTAAAATACCCCCAGTGCTAAAACTCTGAAATTATGGGCTTTTAACTATATGTGAAAACCAAAACTTAAATAAAACAACCCCAAACCTAGCTGACTTACCAATCCTGAGAATATAAACGCCCACTGATAAAACTGCGCTCACACGAACACCTTTCACGCGTGCGTGGAGTCCCCAGCTGCCCACAGCGAGCAGAGCGCTGACCCTCGACCAAAGCACGAGTCAGCAGTTACCTTCTTTTGCTTCAGTTGGGTCATGAGGTGCACACGTTGGGCTGCTGGGTCTAAAGGCTCCGCCTTCCTGGAAACCCCTGGGACCGGAGACATTTTTCTTTGCCCGGTTTGACCAGGGGGCTGAAGGTTCTCCTTCTTCCGTGGGTCCGGAGTCGGGTCTGAGAGTGAGGAGCTCCCTGGCTGACAGGAAACAAAAACCACGTCATCTTCCTCACTGTCACCACTGTCTGTGTCCGCTTCTTGCCGCTGCCCCAGGGAGGGCCCTGCAGCCGGTCGCGTGGACTGGGCGGCTGGTCCTTTAGGAGCAGGTACGTGGCGGGCCTGCGACTGAGCCTGGAAATGGCCCTGGAGCAGCGTCTTCCGGGAGGCCTGCGCGCTCCGCTCGTCCTTTGCCTTTGTTTCTCTAGCCTCCCAGCTCTTGGGCTGCTCCCTGCCGAGGTGTTCTCCTTCCAGGGGCTTGTTCCGTGGGTTCTGGCTGCGAACAATTTGAGGTAAAGGCTTGGTTTCCTTTTCTCTCAGAGGTGCTGATTCTTTTTGGACATAGTGATTCTCTCCCTTTGATTTCTCCTGAGCAGAAGCAGAGGGTTTTCTCAGCTCATTCCCATGGCACTGTTTGGATTTAATTTCAGAAAGGTTCCTTTTGTGCCTCCCTTCAATCTCCTTGACTTCGCACCAAAGCTCTGTTGTTTTCCCTTGTGGCTGCTCTTGACCTGCAGGTTTTTCTACCGCCAGGCCAGGGGAGAGATCTTTCTCCAGCCGGTAGTTAGAGTCAGGCCTCTGTTCCTTCTTTTGATCCAGGAGCCGGTCTCCCTTTTCCCTTTGATTCTTATCAGCCATCTTTTCCTTCTCTTCACCTTTGACCAACTGTTTCCAGAGAGATGGTTCTTGATTCTTGTCAAGTACCTTGAACGGGTTTCTCTGCTGGACGGAAGGGTAATGAAATGGCTCAGGTGCACGCTGGGAATTACTGGTTACAGAATGCTCTTTGGAATTAGGATCCTACAGGACAAAGAACATGATTTTAATATATGAATGCAAACTCTGTATCTACAATGTCCTTTTCCAGAGGAAATGGAAACAGTCTAATATTTCAGAACACGCCTGGGACCATCTCTGCCTCTAGAAAAGACCACAAGGCAAACTCATGAAGTATTAGCTTCTCAACAGCGGTTTCGCTGCTTGGTGCCTCCTGGCCACGAGCCCTGCCTTCCCAGGCCTCGGTGGAATGCAGCGCTGAAGTCAGAGTGCCTTTCCCATGGCAACGCCCACAGTGGGTACTTTTCACGAGAAACTGTTCTCTCAAGAAGAGCTTTTCCCCAAACCAAAGTAAGGCCCATGCTTACTTGATTCAGCTTGAGGAAGCTTTCACTGCAGGAGTCTAGAATCATAAGTTCAGGCTACCCCTGCATTGAAACAAGCCTCATCGCCCCCCCTCAGTCTAGTTTCTCACATAATGGAGATGTGTAGGATATTTCCCAGTTTTCATATTCTGGAAGTTTATGAATTATACTTGGCTTCATTTACCAACATCAAGGAGATAGATATCAGTCTGTAAAAAGATGCTGAAGTTAGTCAAGTATATTAAATTTTTCCCTAATTAGGAGAATACTGACTACATTTAAGGCCCCAGGAAATATTTAGGTAAATGAAATAGGAAACAGATAATTAAATCTTGAATATAACCAAGTAGTCTTTTGAATTACAAGTCCCAATGAAGTCTACCTTCCTTAAAGAAAAGAACTGCCTTTCAGAGACAGCATGATGAGGACCATGTAATTTAGATTGTATTTCAAGGTCTTCTCAGGTGAGGGCACAGATTAAAGTCTTGACCTAGCACGTTTGAAAACAGGCGAATAACTCCTACCTGCCAAGGGATACATCCACACCATTGTTTCCTCTCCGTCTTACTTCTAACGCACCGGAAGAACAGTCTAATGAGGAGTAAAACACAAATAGTCAGCTGTGAAAATCCATTAACACCAGAGATAAACTTGTTTTTAATCCAAGAAAACATTTTACAACTACTTGATATTGGTTTTGAAAGGTCACTTGAAACCAATTACTCTCCTATGTACTATTAAGAATCCTGTACTGCCCAGATACTTGCAAGGGCTGAAAATGGAACGGAGGCGTCTCGGTAACCGGGGTGCATGCACCGACTCACTCTTTTCACTCAGTACAGAGTGACTGAGGGGAAGACACCGACCAGCAGCAGCTGCTAAAGTCAGAAAAGAGAGCGATACCCAGACCTTACGTGTCCCCGACGGGCAGCGGCAATGCTACCTACAAAGCTAAAAACAGACAGAATACTAGGCCAAACCACGAGTAACAAAAATTAACCGATCTGGTCAAACCCCTAGATCCAACGACCAATTTACAAGACGTGCAAAGAGCAGGGAAACATGTAAAGCCAGACCACACAGATGTCATCTGCAAAATCCTGAAAGTGGGAACTGCTCTATGACAAACAACTTGGTCCCTTCCGCAGATAAACTACAAGAGAAAAAATAATGGAGTGGAAAGTTAAGAGACTTAAAAGAAATATCAACCAGTTGCAATATGTAGACCTTATTTGGACCTTGAACTAAAAAATAAACTATTTACGATATTCATGACTCTAATTGAAATTTATACTCAAAGCAGTTTAAAAAACAAAAAAGAGCCCACACCTTTTATAGCTACATACTAAAATATTTATAGAGGAAATCACGTTATCTGGGATCTGTTTCAAAATATGGCGGGAATAGGTATGGATGGGACAAGACGAGCCGGAGCCGGTCACTGTTGCAGCTGCTGAGCAGCAAGGCTCCAAGGCTCCATCCGGCTCCTTTCCTACGCGTCCGCGATCTCCCATTAGCGAGAAAGACAGAGTCTTCCATCCCAGCACAGGCTGGTCCCCGCACACGCGAACAGCCTGCACTCCAGCTACGCGGAAATGGCTGCACCGCCCCATTCTCCCATCCAGCGGTGCTTTCTCGGGCCTACCAGACTCCGTGTGTGCACCGCCTCTGCCCAAAGGATTCATCTGCCTCCCTGTTTGCCCCCGATTCCCCTGCATCACAGGCTATTAAAGTCTTTCAGGTCCCTCAACATCCCGTTCAAGTCATTCCTCCTTCGAGGGGTTTTGTCACAGTCCCTTGGTCTTCAGCCATTGCCCCGCGTTTGCATTTCTGTTGTACTGGGTTGTATTACGTTTGGACCCGGCTCCCTCACTGTATTTTTAACAGCTGGAAGGCTACAACCACATATGATCTCTTTATTTTGAATAATGTCTTACCTCATAGTTAAGTATTGCTGGAAAAAACTGGATCAATTAATTTTTTTGTTGACTGAAATAACTCCTCAAAGATTTTAATCAGTTAAATAAAACTTTAAACATGTACATTTTACTTAGTTGTTTAAATGTGTTAGTTGTAGGCAATGTATTCTATCAAAAACTATAAAATGGCAATGAAAAGCACCCCCTTCACCATACCCTATACATATTTTACATACAAGGGGGGACCCAAAATCCCAGTATTTATTAAAAATTGTGTATTTATTCTTATATGTTTAAACTTCAGTCATATTCCAAGTATTCTTCATTTGATGCAATACACTTTTCAAGACTTTTTTCCACTGTTCTAAACAGTTTTTTAAGAATATATTTATTTATTTTTAGAGAGAGGGGACAGGAAGGAGAAAGAGAGGGACAGAAACATCAATGTGTAGTTGCCTCTCATGTGTCCCCCACTGGGGACCTGGCCTGCAACCCAGGCATGTGCCCTGACTGGGAATCGAACCGGCAACCCTTTGCTTCACAGGCCCACGCTCAATCCACTGAGCTACACCAGCCAGGGCTCAAAACAGTTTTTGAACACATCGATCTTGATGCCTTTTAGTGTTTGTCATTTTTTTTTTGTTTCGACTCTTCCACAGCAGCAAAATGTTTTCCTTTGAGGATTTTTTTCATCCAGGGAAACAAAAAAAGTCACCCCAGAGCAAGATTGGGGGGAATAGAATAGGTGGGGAACAGTGCTAGTGCATTTTTTTTTGTCAAAAACTGGCGCTGACCTAGCAAAGGAAGCTTGTGCTACAAAGGGCCTGCCCTCCAGAAGAAAATTCCAGTTTTTTTAGGGTCCCCCTTGTACATATTTCACAGCTGCACAGCTTCATACACAGCTGCTATGTAGATGCTCCATCATTTATTCAACCAGACCCCCCTGGATGGACACTGGTTGTTACCAATCCTTTACTAGTAAAAGCAATGTCACAACAAATTACCTTACACACATGTCATTTCACGTGTGTTTCAATACACCAGGAGGGAAATGACTTATCATATTGTGTATTAGTGCTTTCTCTGTTATCCTTGATCATTTAGAGGCTAGATTTTATTCTTGTTTTACTGTTTTCTAACTCATTAAATTCAATTTTACCTACATAAATTTCTTCTTTCTCTTTAATTTCTTGTTCTTCTTCTAACTTCTTAAACGAATCCTGTGATACTCAACATGAGTCTTAACAGTCTGAGTCCTAATTGAAAACGAATCCTGAGCAGGTGTCGATCCCTTGAGGCCTTTACTTTACCTGGACATGTAAACAAAGATGAAAAGCACAAGACAGACAAGTGTTCCACAAAAATAAAACTAAAAAGAAAATAGTTAAAGTATCCATCCCCCTCCTATACAAACACAGCTTTCCCTTTCAAGTCCACAACTTCAAAAAAAGTGCATTGGTCTCTTTTTCTCACAACAGGATATAACATTGAACATGTATAATAAATTTTGAGGTGCTTTGAATGCATAAAAATTCAAAGTACTGGCTACTATGAGGGAGCACTACTACTTATCAAAATAAATCAAGAACAAATTGCTGCTGTTGTTTAAAGTGTATTTAGCACTCGAAATCTCTACTGAAAGAATATGTCATAAATAGTATCTACTTTAAAGCCCAAGCCATGCGGACTTTCGGGAGATGGGAAAGACTGGAGAAAGCAGAAAACACTGCATACTGAGCATCCCTGCGCTGGGCACAGCGCTAGAAACGCTTTATCTCACATTGTTATTAAGACAGATCTGGAGTGGTTTTTATTTAGGTTAAAAAGCTTGCTGTGTGCATGAAACTGTAAATTAACAAAGAAAGCAGCAGAACTGCATTCTCACAGAGAAAGCAAAGACTGATTCCACTGTGAAGAACAATGTGATTTCTGCAGTATAGTCATTATTTTCCAGGACACAGGTTACAAACCACAGTGATGAAGAAACCGGCTAGTGGAAGCCGGACCTCTTTAATTCTCTCCATCAGAAGGTGAATCCTCCCTTCTTACTAAAGGCTGACTGTCCAACCCAGCATCACGATCCAGGCCGGGATTCTCCCAGATTCTACAACCATACTGTTGGTTCAAATCCTAGCCCTATCACATAATTAGCTCCAAAACAAAGACACCTTATTTAACTGGCCCCTGTGACAGTTTACTTTTCTGTAAAATGGTAAAAACAAAAACAAAAACACCCTACCTACCTCATTTGGTCACTGTGAAGATCAAATGCATCTTCACATGTATAGCAAGAACTTAATAACAGCAATCATTAGTCCACTCTTGTGGCCACGGGGCTTATTCCTATAACCACACTTCTGTGTGCAGCCTGGAACACTTACTTCCTTGTCCTTTTCTCTGTTCAAATTTTAAAGATCATTCAGTCCTGGCTGGCATAGCTCAGTGGATTGAGTGCGGGCCTGTGAACCACATGATTGCAGTTCGATTCCCAGTCAGGGCACATGCCTGGGTTGCAGGCCAGTTCCTGGCAGGGGACTTGGCAGGGGACTCACAAGAGGCAACCACACATTGATGTTTCTCTTCTTCTCTCCTTCCCTTCCTTTTTAAAGATAAATAAATAAGATCTTAAAAAAAAAAATTTTAAAGATCATTCAAGGCCCAGTTCAAGTCTGAATCCTCCACTTTCCCAGTGACCTTCAGTGGCCTGCGTCCCTCACTGCAGGTTTACAGTCACAGGTGCATCTGGCATTCGAACGCGGCCAGTTCAGACCCCCACCCGTGCAGAGAGGGCTGGCCCACTCAGTACCTCCCTACGCCTGATCCTCGTCTGGGTTCTGTCCCAGGGCACTTAGGAATGGGGGTCACTGCTTTTACACTAAAATCCAAGAGGGAACAAAAATGGCAATGTAACAAATGTAACTGTAAATATCCTAGGAAAAAAAAAAGATGACTATCTTTGTAATTCTAAAGTGAAGGCTTCTCTCAGCAAGAGACATAAAATCCTGCAGCTGAGAGATAATTCAGTAATTTTGGCTACATAAGTTTTAAACTTTCATATGGTGAAAGTACTATAAGCAAATTCGAAGATAAAAAGCAAACTGGGAAAAGTAATTGCTACACATATTACAAAGGGCTAACGGGCTTTACATATGAATTACCTCCATTGTACAGCAAGTGAATGATACTGGACAGCACCTACCAAGTACTGGCTTCACTGATGGGGCTTCTTCCAGGGTGGGTGGAGCCTAACGTCCTTCCGCTCACACTGTAATGATGCCTCTCTGCCATCGGCCCGGATGTTCATAACTGGGCTAGATAACCTGCATGCCAATTTTACCCCAACGCTAACCACACGAGCGTTATTAAAAATATTTTGAGCATGCTGCTATTGTTACAGAAAACAACCCAGCCGCTTTCAGGTGTACGGAGTGGAACTTTATTTACACATATGGACCCAGAGGAGGCAGTCTCCAAATTCTGGGTCCTGAGCTCAGGCAGGGGCTTGTTTATATAGTGTGGCATGCGGAAGTGATTTTACTAAGCCTACGTGGCAGAAGCAGGTTTACAGAAGCAAGAAAGCAGGGCTGCTGAGAAAGCAGGGCTGCTGATAGAGTCATACAATATTTTTTTGTTCTTACTTCTTACTTAGTTGCTCACCCCTCCTTATCTTGG